TAAAAATACAAAGCATACGGTCGTATATTAAAGGTAATTTGGTCGGCTCCAGTGGCTATGTAAACACGTGATAGAACGAGCCGGGAACACGAAAATAGATGGGACCCTGATGTGTGGATGCTGGGTTACCCAATGTGATTTCCCTCCTGACTTCCTGCTAAACTTTTGCTTTACTCCTCCAGATCCTGTCGCGCCCCATGAGACTGCCATGGAGGTGAACACCTACCAACAACAGCTTGCAAGGAAAGGTGAGCCTCTTCGTTACTGCTTTTATATAACATGGGTTTTTTTGAAATCGTTGTCAATCATAGTTGTGTAGACATTGGATCAAAGGATGGGTTGATCCAAAGCCGAGGCTACTGTGTGTTTAATGTGGCACGTGTTTGTGTGCGCGCACCAGTACAATGCGGGTATTTTTGTCGTAAATAAAGTCAAGAAAGGTAAATGTGATTATGTACTAAAGATTCATTTAATGGGAGGTAACAGTTATGTAAACTTTATAAACAAGTTGAGAGAGTTGTTCCTCTCATTAACTAATCTGCTACTGTGTTTCTTTATTGTTACGTGCGATTTATATTTAGACCAAAATACTCCCTTTGAACCCTGTTGCATTTTCAGTACTTGATTCTTTGCGCAGTGTTTGTATTTAAGTCACGTTGAAGTCCACAAAAACGAGACTCTGTTTCTGTCTTTGTGACGTGAGAGATGGAAGTTGGATCTAAGCACAAATCTTGGATAATTTACCTTCGAATGATCATCTCACGTCTTCTTTCATTTGCGTTTGGCGTCGTCCTACATACGCTGTAGGAATACATTTTTACTCTGTTGATCCAGACGGTTTTTCCTCTTCTTACGTTAAACCCAGCCGTGTGAACAATGAGGCCTATTGTTATTTTATAGCTATCAGTAATACGTTTATTTTAAACACATAGTGTGTGTATTCGCTTGTCAGACAGGTTCTTGTAGATTGTGATGCTTCTATTGTCTCCTTTCTTGTAAAGCTTTTTGTTTTAGTTTTCTTATTCTTAGCTTTTTAGAGAAAGAATAGAATTCGTTATTTTTAATTATGTATTTTTTTTTTTTTTTTGCTTTTTTTCTGCATGACGTTAAGAAGTTATGTGATGTTAAAATGGATCACGTTAAGAAGTAATATGATTCGAACTGGATTAAATAATGTGATTAGAACTGAAGTCAAGTTGTAACCCATATACAGATTGTGTAGCCTAGTGTTAGAATATGGGCCAAGATAAGAATCTTGTTCTAACAAAGCACTTCTCTCGAACGAATAATTTATGCTGAATTGGGGTGTAAAAATGAATACTCCAATAGCTATCACATGTCCTACATACACTTAGTTTTGCCACGACGCAATTCTCAGTTATATAGATTGGAAAAAAACAACAAAGCATTATTCTTACAAGTAATGCGTTTAATGACACTAAGGTAAATAGAAAGATAAAATAATAAACGATTAAATAACTGCGTTAAAGTTATAGTTGTATTTTTCAGGTGGTATAAGAGCACCTGTTTTGTTTATATAAATACCGAAAGAATGTTGATAGAGTTCCGCTGTGTTGCCCCTAGAAGTTTATTTTATATAGATGGGTATAGAACTAAAGTTAGGTGTATGTCGGCATTTTCGAGTAGTTTGGGTGGGACGTAAGCTGGTGCAAAATAATAGATACTGCACTTGAGACTGGAGTGACACTTAAAATAGATCGAGCGCCGAATGGATTCTCTATGCTGTTTGTGAAGTAAAAATAGAACGGCTTCGACACCGAACGCAATTAAGTATTGACGGATTAGCTGTCATAAAAAGGGATTACTTATCCAGTATTTATAATGTTCCACCTTAGGTTTCGTGTCGTAGTCGCCTATTTAAATCACGTAAGAAGAAGCGAGATCCTAGAACGTTTTGAATTTAATTAATTTTTTTTATTTAACCCGACTGCTGTTAAACTTTTAGTACTGTGGTTTTATTCCTTTAACCGTCTAGTGACGGTGCATGCATTTTTAAAACTGGAATTTCAAATCTAGACTCGTGTTTGAATGTTCATATTATCTCAGACATTTGGTGGATTCTAAACATTCAGTAAAAAAATGTAATCGATATAATACGTTATTATTCATAAATTCTTATGTTTAATAATATTATTTACCGATCTTTTTTACTGGTATAGGTAAACTATTTTTAAATTAGGTGCATATTTAAACCACTTCAATGTAAACCACCGCTGATGAGTCTTGACACTCGCCTACAGTTGTATGCTTTTAAGACTTGTTATTCAGTTCTTAACTCTGAAAGAAAATTTCAGAAAATTAAGTTACTACCAGACGCCCGGTGTATTGAGAGAAAAAAAAACAGTATTTTATTCTCACATAAATATCTCCTTAAGTGTAACGTAGGTGTAAAAAATTAAAAGTAGGCAACTTAAGTTTATTGAACCGTAGTGTTTGCTATAAATAATATAAAACGACAGCTTGAATCGACAGATAATAAATGTAAATAAGGTTTCTTGTGGGTACTGGGACATTACTAATATACTCAATAGAAATAACACCACACCTGAGTTTAAAGAATGCTCCTTGTAGAGAAGGCAGCGAAGCGTGGAATGCATTACGCAGTCTAGTCGGTCATGGAATGGTGCTTGAAGTAGGACAAACTTCGTGGACAAAAATAGACCTGTTCTAGTCGCACTCGTCCTGTATCTGTATACAGCTTTAATCAAACATCGGTGGACAATTTGTTGGACTGTCTTGTTAATTGATCGTGGATTTGTGTGTACATTAGAGATAATGGCATGGTGTCACACTTGCTTTTGGAATGAATTAACATTGTTATTTCACATATCACATTAAGGTTTAAATTAAGTTTTTTTAAAATTGTTTAAAATCTTGATGTCAGCTAACTCACTGTGGTAGATAACAGAATCAGGTCAGGGGGGGGGGTCGTGTTCGGAGACTTTAGGGGTGTGAGTTGCAAAAATTACGGAACTTCTCCAGCAAAGTTCTATCTTGATGTCTACCCTAACCTTGTTGTACCACAAAGAGCGATCTCCCACACTGACTTTTTTTAAAACAGCTAGTTGTTTCAACGTGGGTAAATAGAAGAATTGTTTGATTGATGAATATCACATTTGTCTTTCCTGTCTTTAGAAATCTATTTCCTCCTCAAGGATTCATAAACACACGTGTTGAGCGCGAGAAACGTAGGGATTATGTAGATGATTGGTGAACTTGTCACCGCTTGTCCTGTGGGGGAGGTGGGGTGTCTACGCCAGCTGAGAAGTCAAGCAGGTTCGTTTGTTGGACACGGTGGGAGAAGGTAGCTTGAACATGGTGTTCCCCCCTGGCTATTTCTGTACTCTTGGATGTTTGAATTACCGACGGAGAGTGCCCTAAGTCAGTACCCCCTGCTGACAGCTAACACCCATTGACGTCAATACGTGAAATGATGGGATAAATTAAGATAACGGTCGCCGTTTTATCCTGGTACCTTGAAACACGAGGAACAAACATTTCAGTGATTTACACAATCAGTTTGTCAACATAACTCCTTGCTGTGTGATTTACACGCCTAGTTTGTCAGGTAGCCCCTTACACATCCACGTTTGTGATTTATATTCTTATTTTAACTCAATAGAGTTCACTTAGTCAGTGTCTGAATACAAGTCTGAAATGTATTTTTAATTATTGGTTCTATACTTTCTTCACCTTTGTGTTTTGGTCGTAAATTTCTTGTTCTTGTGACACATTGTCTTGGTTAGCGGTCATTGGCCTTCTTTTTTGGCGTCGCTTTTACATTGGTGTTGATGTATGTGTGAGCATTACGTTTTTTTTAACACGTTTTTCTTAACTCAGCTTCGCGTTTGTTTGTTTGTTTGGATGTTTGTTGTTAAAATTGACATCGAAAATTAGCCCACTTCTGATTGCTCTAGAGATCTGAAATTTGGCATGTAGGCTACTTTCGCCTAACAATTTCAGATGCAATCATAAAAACTAGCAATAAGAGACCGTAATTAGCTTAATTTAATTACGCCCCAAGGACCATAAAATTGAGGACATGATTTCTAAAGATACCGACAAGACTGGAGGCCTATAGACACAGTTACTTCGGCCCCAATCGATGTGAGCGCGCTGGCCGTGATCGTATAGTGGTTAGTACTTCGCGTTGTGGCCGAGACAACCCAGGTTCGAATCCTGGTCGCTCAAGATTTTTAGTCCGTGTATTTATAAACACTTAGTCAAGTCATACTTAATGAAGTCATTAGATAAAGTAGAAAATAAACTATTTAAAAAACTTTTTTAAAAACCACGTTTTTCATGTGTAGCAACGGACTAAAAAGGAGAAAATAAAATACTTAAAAAAAACTTTTTAAAAAACCACGTTTTTCTTGTGGACTAAAAAGTAGAAAATAAATTTTCATACATTTGATGACAAAAAACGTGGGTCGGGCAGATGGGTCGGGAACTTTGATGGTGAACGTACCCACGTTTTTTGTCATCAAATGTATGAAAATTTATTTTCTACTTTTTAGTCCACAAGAAAAACGTGGTTTTTTAAAAAGTTTTTTTTAAGTATTTTATCGTACAAACTTCACATTTCTTAGCCAAACCATTATTACCTTATCAGACGTACAAATTATCTTTTTAAAATCTGATTAATTAATTAAACTTATCGGGACTATACGACTGAAGGTTTAAGTTTTTATTTGAAAGTTCATGGTTATAATCTAACCCTCGTGTTTAGCAAAGTGTTGATATTTATTTACGTTGTGCAATGTGACTAGTCTCTAAAATGACGAGAGGTGCACGATAAGTAGTGACTAAAGCAGTTCCGCCCTGCTGTCTTTATTTTGTCCTCGCCACTACCTCGTGTCGGCCCTCGCATTCCCATTAGTTTAAAAATAAACTCCCTAAGAATATAACTATTGGTGTCACACCGTATAGGCCGCATAGGGTGTTATAGTTACATACGCTCCGTGGGAGATCGACACGTCTTGATTTAGCTCGCGCAAAATAGTTTCTTTTCATGGACTGTTATCTTGTTTATTAGCTAGTGTTTATCTCGCATTAGTAATATTTCAATTTAGGTGCGTGTTTTTTTTCTTCAATCAATATATTTCTGTTCGTCAATTTTTAAAAACTGTTATTGATTTATAGGAATTATTTGTTTTTTTTTTATTATGATTAAGTGTTGTGTTGGAAAGCACCAGCTTCTTTTCTTATTGGTATTACAAGTTGCTAAGGTTATATTTTAAGCTATAGGCTGGTAAGTACAGTCTCAAGTGTTTAGTACACACAGTTAAGTGGCAGTACTTGTGCAATGTCCATTTCTTCAGGCTTTGATACCGAATTCACTTGCTTGGTGCAGATATATCGTAACTAGAGTTTGTAGCTAATGGCATGCAGCACACGAGGGTATACATCCCCTTTTTTTCCTGGGTCAAAATTGTAGAGACGTCCTTACTTTATGGTGTAAACAAAGCAATAGATCTAAATAAAACATTGCGTTGGGGCGGTTGATACTTATCTCTCAATTTCTATAAAGACAAGTAACAACTATTTTTAGGTATCTGTTAAACATTGCAACTTTAATTGTTGTCTTAAACTCATGTCGCTCTATAAAACAGAAAGAAGCTGTCTCTTGTGGCCAGTGCAAAATACAAGCGGTATTGTTAATGGAGACAAGTATCTATTAAAAGGGAAACAATGTAGATTATTAGCATCTAGACTCGACTAGATCTAGTGTTATTGATGTTCAAGTTCAACTTTTTACTCTTTAAACAAATAATTTCTTTTTAAACTGGCGTTCATAAATTGTTAGGCTACTGTTCTTAAGCCTACTGTAAACTTTGAATAGATAAGGAGAATCAAAGACAAATGTGTTTGTTTTCAGTGTAAAGATCTCATCCCTCCCCCTTTTAAAACAATTAACTGTTTGTTAAGAATTATATATAAAGCAACCAATGAAACATGACTTTGTTTATACTCTAGAGTGGTAAATATCTAGGATAGAAAGCTGGAATAATATTTACCTTTCGCCGCGAAGGCATAATTTTATGTAGCTAACATACGTTTAAGTGATATATACTGTTGCTAATAGGGTTAATGAATGTGTTTAAGTAGTATCGGCGAAGCTTCTCTCCAGTTATGAATTCTATTTGTGTGTTGTTATTCAGTTAATTCTTGTGAGGGAGATACGTGACACTATGTGTTGAGCCGGGGAAAACCTTTCCTGCTGTACACTGCTAGACTTGTTTGCCGTACTGGATCTTTTGGTCTGGATACATTATCTGGGAGAAAGTTCTGTTGCGTCATTGCCAGGATTTGCCTTATCGGACGCCACGTTTAAAAACAGATAAGACGAATTTTACAATACACACCTTTTGTACAGTATGGATTGTGTGACTCTGAAGTATTAAACATATTCGGTAGCGACATGGATAGTATGTTTCTCTACAATTTCAACTATACATACCAGTGGCCGGCTGGTCAAAGACTGGCGCCTTATAATTGTGAAGGAGATAAACAATCGCAGAGAAGCATTTATGGTAAGATATACTCATTAGCAGACTCATTTTGTATATATTCCCGTATAATAATTAAACGCGTCTCCTTTGTTTGAAAGTTTCCACTAGTTATACTATACAATATTTTTAAAATGGCATGGCTTTTAAAGAAACTCAAAAACGGTAACGTTGTATTTATTTGTTCTGCCTTTTCTTTCTAAATCTTGTACATTTTAAGTTCATTATTCCTGTCACGATTTCATATTCTGTGACTAAAATAATACACTGTCATTTACAAAAGGTCATGTTCACAGCGAAGAAGCTGAAGAAGCTCGGTAATTATTAAGATCAAGATATTTTTGCCGTATTCAATTTTTCTGCATCAGCATTTCTCGTCCTATGCTTTTAAAAAATGTTATAATATTTTCCTGAATTTTATTAAGATATCTTTTTGTTATAAGAATAGAATAAAACACAAAGCGTTTTGCCTGCATCATTGACCACCGGGAAATGTGTAAAGGTCAGTGGCATTTTCAGTAATGATAGCCGGGACCAGGAGTTGCTATTTCAAACTCCCCTGTTCCATTCCGAGACTAGAAACCTCATCATTTTCTGGGGAAAACATGTAATTTTTGGTTCAGTTTTTTTTTAATCTCACATCGAGAGATCTATAAATGATTAGACACGCCATCCGATCTTAGCACGTTATATTTTCCTTGCTTTATAGATCTGTCTGTAAGAAGTTTGTGGACGAATTTATTTTAAAATAAAACTGATCTCGTTTGTTTTTTTTTAATATTAATTTTTTTTTTTGAAAAAAAAAACGTTGGGTATAGATGGATTGATTTTCTTTATAAATTAGTCAATTCAAAACATTGTCGGTATAGAAAAAGAAAATCAATATTTAACCACCTTAAACCTTTCTATAAGCATTCTAGATAGATTTAAATAGCATGTTAAAGTTTGACATTCCTTCGTTTAAGCGTGTGTGTTTTTAAAAACAATATTTTGTAAATATTTGTCTGAATTTGTTATACTTTGTTTTTTGTGTTCGATAGGCGAATCCCATATTTTATTATGCTTTGTACAGTCAAAATTATGTTTGTTGAAACATATTATTACTTCTTTAGCATAGTCTGAGATGTAAATACCTTGTAAAGTTAGCATAAATTCATAAATATTACAATTGACACAGACGCACACACGGTCTACTAAACATTTTTTTGGGAACATGTTATGTATTTAAAAAGTAATCTCCCCCATCACTGGGTGGTAACTAGTAGATTTATTCAATGTGGTAAAGTTAATCTTGACATTCCACCCAGGTTGGAATTATTTTTTTGTCTATTGGCGTTCTATATATTACTTTTTTTGCCCATTTATACAATAGCGCATTCATAGTTAAAAGTTAAAGCCTCCATAAAGCCCTTTGATGTGTAAAACTGATCGCTTTACATCTTTTACAAATCTAAACAGTTGGAGATTTTAAATGGATTTATAGAAAATAGATAAAACATCAGTAAAATATAAAAAATCCTCAGCACGACTACTCATAATTTTGGTTTTATGCATAGTTGACATAGTGTATAATTTGATCCGGCGTTTTCTGGATTCTATACATGTTCACTGGTGTGTAACGTTTCCAAGCCCTCCCCCAGCTAACCCAACTGTCCTCTCTCCCCGTTGGTACTACGTGGGGTGCTGATTTCGGTGCTTTTAAAAGTAAATATAATTGATTCTGGCTACACAGACTCAAGAATTTAGTGAAGGGAACGTTTCAGCACAGGTGTATTATTGTTGACTACTTGAGTAGATAGCATCTAGCCGCACCCTTGAAGACGTCATTATTTTATGTCTTATTAAAAAAATTCACGGTAAACAGGTCGACCAGTGACACACATTTTACAGGTCACTTCCTCATTACCATTTTAATCCTCACTCGGTCCCGCCTCTCGCGACGTACGTAGTTTTCGTAGTATTTAACACGAGCCGGCCCGCGGCATAACATACGCCGCTATTTAGTTGTTTCTAATTTTCAATAATTCATAATTTGTGAATTCGACAGTACCAACGCTGACACTGAAAATATTTCTTTAAAACACTATAAGTAGCTCGTTAAGGACCATAACCCCCCCCCCTTCCTTCCCTCCCCCCCTCCTCCCCCCCCCCCCCTACGTTTAAAATCGTTGGCTCTGCTTGTAAACATTTAGAGTGAACACAGCTCACTAAAACCATGTAGGGGTGGGGAGGTAGGGAGAGCGTTTGCAGCTTGTTTTCTAACGGCTCGAAGAAGAGAATTATATATATAGATAGATTCTGAGGTGTACATGAATTTATGTGTGTATTTGTATAGATACACAGCGAGAGAGAGAGTATATACACATGCGCTTAATGTCGTAAAATGTGTACATTTGCAGCAGTTTTAAGAAGAAAGTTTTTGAGTGCCCCAGTAACCCCTAACAAAACGCTTCGCTTTTTCCTTTCTAAAAATAACAGCTGTGACAAATGTTACGATTTTAAAATGCTTATCTTTTTGCGCACGATGTATCATAACGTCTTCTGAATCATAAGGTTACACTAACCTCGTACCTATTCTAGACATGCATTAGCCAATTAATTTTTGGTTTAATTTTTATTTTTCAGGAGACATTTATATAAACAATCAATTTTAGCTTTTTTAAATGTATGCTTAGAATTATACAACACATATGTATGCTTCGAGTGATGCGGGTATATCCAATTTTGAGTGTTCGCAGTCAGGGTAGTCCTCCGTACAACAGGTTTATTTAGATGTGGCTGAGGTGAAGATATGGGATTACTCCACACGCTCTTAGCGCGTGCCAATCCTGTAACATGCCGACTTATTCACGCTCATCTCCCCCTCTCCTGCTTTCTTCTTCCTGCACTTTTCGGCCATCTTATCGTATTTTACCAGTCCGCCTGAAACTCGTCAAGTTGGGGGAACATTATTTTGTAACAAACATTACCTAGTCTTGCTCTTCATATAGTGAAAGTTATGACTGACGGCTGAGGCTTGCAATGGACCTTTTGTCATTTCTAAGGCTGTTACAGCTATCCTTTGTTGTTGTTGTTGCTTTATGTGTCTTGTTTATTCTACTGTACACACCAATGAATGGTCAGATATTTTGTTTTAAATCAAGGAAACATGTCACATCTATACTATTAGGTTTAGCGACCTCGTTTCAGTACACCCTTAATTTATGTAGTGCTCATCTTAAATGCTCTCATCTCTGTGATGAGAAAAAAAGCCCCCCCCCCCTAAAACACATATCCAGTGGCACACCGTGACTCAGAAGCTGGGTAAAAAAAAACCTTTACTCCGACGGTTTCAGTCGCAATACATTTTTACACACTGCCAACTTTATGCACTCTGTTGTAAAAAAAAAAAAAATAGCGGGTGCTTAATTAAATCATCAGGAAATTTTGTTGCAAGTAAATACTGTAACGGGAAAGTAAGCGAACGTAGGAAGTTGAGTAATTATTCATCACAGTATGCGTAAAGATGCTATAGGTAATGTTTCATTCATACTTTTAAAACACCCAGTCGATACATGCATACTTTCTCCTTCTGTATTTACATCTGTGATATTATAAGTAAGTTTACTTTTATATTTTGCACTTCGTATGATATAGGCCTACACATCTAACAATCGCGAATTCAATATTTTAACTTTGCATTTGTAACTGTATTGTCGAGTCTCAGCTTTGACAGTGGTAATGCCATCTTGACTCGTCCTATAACTTAAGTTAGGCCACTTCGTATCAGGAATAAACGTCCGCGACATTTCGAGGGTTATAATGGAAGCATATGTCTTCAAATGATACTTACGTTGATATTAATGTATGCCATTTATTAGTGTAATAGCATTAACTCTCTCTAACTGTTGGAGTAATTTCTTTTTACTGCATAAACAATTTGTGTAATATGTCCTTTTTACGTTGTCTTTTCTATCCATTCGACCTGGTAAGGATTGATAATCTTTATTAAGAGAAGTGTAAGAATTAGATTTTAATGTGATATGCTAAAATTGGTGGCGTTGATTCAGTTTTACATGCAGATGGCAATGCTTAATGCCATTTACGTGCCTGTTGGTTTGATATGCCAATCATTGGATACAATCCTTACAGCACTAGCCAGTTTTTAAAAAACCATTTTGTCCTTCATAGTTTTAATGCATCATGAGATAATTATATTATTTTATAAGTCATGTACTTGTTTTTGAATCAGGATTTACCCTCGCCTTTTTTTTAAATTTGACTAGATCGAATCACGGATCAGCAGCTGCAGCAACAGTTGAACTGTCTGAAGCAGCAGCAACAGATCCAGCAACACATGTTGCTGGAGCAGTACGAGCACCAACGGCAGCAGCTGGAGCAGCAGCACGAGAAGCAGCTCCAAGAACACACCAAGGTACATGAGCACGTACGTTTGGCAGTGACCCGAGCATTGGGGCCAGGTCTGTGGGCAACATGAAAGAGTTCCAGGCTACACGCGCTAGTTGTGTAGATTAGCTGGGACATAGAGTTTAATGGGGAGAATAATTGTAAAGTTAATTAAACATTTCCTTTAAATATTCTTTCTGGGCGGGGGGACCTGTATCTTGGAAATAAATATTCATCTCTTTCATAAATAAAGAATAATAGATATGCCCACAGGCTTATCCCAATCTTTTCATTTTCTTTTTTTTTTTTTATTTAATTTACTTTACTTTTTTAAAATGTTGTCAATTTAATATCTTCTTAAAGACTACCATCACCCGCCCTAAGCTCTGTAACTGGAGCTTCTCCTCCGCTTGTAATAACGATCTCCATGGTAACATGGATAGTTTGTGTTGTTACAGCTTCTCTATTGATATTTGAATGGATTTAGCTCATGCCGGTTATATTCCCCCTCTAGGCATCTGCTTGTAAGGATTTACATGTGGAGTTAATGTGTGTTGGGGAGGGTGGGGGGGGGGGCTGTTTTATGTCTGTCGCATAGCAAAACTCGCCTCCCTCTTTTGTTAGCAACATATTTGCTGAAGTCTTGAATCGACCTAAAACTGTATGAGTTACTCGCTTTTGGAGAGGACATGCACGGGGGGGGGGATGTATTTAGTAAACACCCCATGTGGCTCTCTTTTAATGTGAAATACCATGTTTATCTTTCAAGTGTGGTTTTTATGCTCTCCATATTAAATAAGGGGATAAAAAATTATCAGCAGTGTCATTAATCATGCATGGTTAAACTTGCTCTGGAAATCACGAGATAAAAATATGAGCTCTGTCTGGTTATATATTGGTTCTCATCTATTAGTCGTAATAATACTCTCGATAGCCAACATTGGTCACTTTTTTTTAATGTGTTCGGTTCGAAGCATCTTTATCAACGTTGCATTTAGCTGTACGAATATAGAACATAATCTGACTAGTAGATAAATATCAAGCTCGCTAGATAAAAGATATTGCGTTGGATTATTGTTAGCCTTCGTATGCTATTTGAAAGAACTAAGTGCAAGCGGTGTAATATTTTTTTTCCCTGCCGTGTTCTAACGTCAGCATTTCGACCTTACAAGCAAGATTTCTCTGTAATCAATTCATCTCACAAATAAATCAGAACGGAGGACGCTGTCCCATTCCCTTTCATTTTATTTTTTTTTGTTATTTAGGTTGGCTTTCCATTAAACTTAAAGGTTAGATGGGAAGGGATGGGGGGGTGTTAAGAAACACGGTTTGAAGAAGCGAATCTAATTAAATTGGCAGAATAAAATCTAGATTTTAATTATTTCCTACGGTGATTTTATGATAGCAACTTTTACTTTAATCTTCAAACGCGCCTAGTTAATTAAAAGTTAATTAAAAAACTTTGTAGCTATTATTTAGAATGAACCTTGTCTAATTTTAGAATGTCATCGGGTCTATATCGTGTCGGCGTATTGATTAACCAAATATTTGTAATGCGTTGAACTAAAAATAAAAAGAAATGTATTCACTCCAGTGTAGATAAATTTAACCAGTATCTGTGCCAAGTGGCCAGATAACCTAGATATTATATTTAGAAGTATCTATCATGTTGGTAAATTTGATTTACTTTGCAAGTCAGATTAGTTTACAAAGGCCGACTGTTATCTCGGGGACTAGACATTGTTCCGAAAATAGAAAGTATTTGGTATCACTTTTAAAATACTGTTCGTTTAACGACAAATAACGTGCTGACTTCGTACACCCACAATTTATAACGTACATCGTAATTTATGTTTCCCTTACAATCAAATAGAAATCTCTTAACTTTTTATCCCGTGACTCTGATTACAAGTGCGATTTTACTACCGTGGTCTAGCTATAAATAAAGTGTTAAATTAACTTGGGTGTAGGAGATACCTTACGTACATTTGTTCTTCTCTGGTTGTAAATGTTGAAATATACAAATCGTATCGTGCTAAAATGTCAGTTTCTCATTCCTCCCATACAACGTGAAGGGATGGGTGGACACAAAGCTCCACGTTCGCTGTACTTACAGCAGCAACGTAAAAACAAATGGCAGTCATGTTGTGTAGCAAAGTCCCTCCGCGGTGCAGGTAATGTAAACAAATCCGGACTGACGGTCGCTGGTCTACTATGTAGACTAGCTACATTTTTCTTCTGGTGGCAATGGGGTTTTTAACCCCAGGGGGCTAACAACTTTAAGGAATTAATTTGTCATTTGGTAGTAGACTGCTGCGCAGTAAACTAATTGCATTCATTAAAAACAAAGTATCCAGGTAGTTGATGTTTGTAATGATTGTATGTACGTTTGTATGTGTATGATAGAGTTTGTAAAGGTACAAATCGGAAGGAGTTATGTTTGCTGTCAATTATCATCCATTATGTTAGTAACCGTAGAAGGTGGACTAAATTAAAGTAGCTGTCTTATCCCTTCACTTTTCAGCAGTTTTTGACACAGTTTCGGGCCAGATAAAGTAGAGTTGAGGACACGTAAGCTCTATGTATACGGTACAGCCGCCCATCCCCTGTACTATTTCTGGGCCAAGTATAGATGGCTTGACTTCCCTATTGCGTCCTTTAAAAGTTGAGTCTGAATGATATGCACTCTGTATCCCCTTCATACTCATTAAAGTTGATACTAGTCTGATACACGAAGTACGTGTTTTTATAGAGAGATATTAGTTTATGGCCATAATGTATTACCAAAACGAAAATATACGTCCACATCGCAGCAAAGAGTAGAAATAAATGTACTCTAACCGTCTATATTTGCTTATAATACACCTGAAACAAGTCCCACTATACTCTGTATTTACCTTCTGCTACCTGCGCTCCCCTCCCTCTGATCCCTAGCCACCGCGATTCTTGTCTTATCCACAAGCCAATCCTGTTCCGTTGACTAGTTAAAAAAATCTTTTTGTCCTTGGAGGTTTAAAAAAAACAAAAACGTTCCCTTCATTCTTGTGCAAAGCAAGTGTAAGTGAATGAAGCATCCACTCCCTCAACTAAATGCATTAGCTAAACCAGGCTTAGACCCACTATAAAACAGCGCTAGTTTTATTCTGGGGTGGGGGTGGAGGGAGTGGGGGGGGGGGGGGTTAGGGTTTCCTAGTCGAACCGCATCGAATTTAATCTTCTATTCAGGTAATAGAAACAATTTGCCGAGGGTTTTAAATTCAGAAACAATTTCCCGACGGTTTTTAATTTACTTTCTTTTTATCTATTTATGTATTCTATTATGTACTTTTTTCCCCAAATAAAACTGCAAAAAAAATGCTATTAGCATACATATAGCGATCCCGCCCCGTTTATTTTAATGCTGCCGTTGTAAAGGTCATAAAAAGATGATGTAGTGCCCTACTCTAGACTAGGGCTTTCTTTATATCAACGTTGTGACACAGATACGTTCAGTTAATAAAGTAAACAACGCTACTTTGAGCATGCACTGTATACTAAATAGAGCAGAATTTATGGCATGTAAAAAATTCCAAACGTTGTTTTCGACAGTATGTTAAACATTTATTTCGTATAGACTACTGCTGTCCGCGTGTAGGTTATTATTTATGTTTTAAAGAGGGCCATGAAAACACGCCGTGTGTTTGTCCAACGTGTGATCACCTTGGCTTCTACCTTGTCTTCTATGTTTACGTACGGGTTTGTTCAGCTCAAGAGAATCTTTGTAGAGCCAAGTAAACAGAGTTAGTTGCTAATATAGACCTTCGAGATTTTCTATGCTACGTTACGTGTAATGCATTTCCATTCATTAATGTAAGGCAGTAGTTTTTTTTTCTTTAAAACTAGTTTAACAAAACTTTTGTTATGTTTCTTATTGTAATATTTCATTTTATTAGTGTATACGTTTATAACTGTCTGTTATAAAACAACGTGGGTAGACTATAAAAAGAAGTCAAGTACTTAAAGTGTCATGGGTATCTCTGTAAAACTGATACGAACCACGATCCAATTTAACATGATATACAAAGCTACGATTTATGAACCATAGCTGTATGAATATCAAAAGCATTGAGTTACAGGCATTCAAACTGTGTCAAGCCAAACGCTGTAAATTATAATGCTTTGTTGTAGGCAAACACACCGGCTATTTTAAAAAATTATTTTAGATCAGATTGTTCATTAAGACGACGTTCTTTGAACAAGCACGTAGACCGATAGTATCGACTTTAGTGACGTTTAAGGACCGCGGGCCTCATTTACATATTGTAGGCGGTCAGTGTTTAAGACGTGTGAAACGTCTTTAAAAGTCTACGTTAAACATCATATTCTTGCATAATTGGATTTCGTTAAACTTAGACCTGTAGGGAAGTCGAAGTCTTAGTTATTTTTTTTTTTTAATGATTGATACTTCTTTGCATTGCCAATTTTTATATAGGCCCTATACTTCTTCCGCTTTTTGCTGTGTTCTTTAAAAAAAAAATAGGTACCTTTCTAGCTTTGAAAATAACTATCATGTGTAAGCCCGAACTCTTAGGGTTCCGTGATGTATTCAACAAAATCATTTATGTTAAGTTATGAATGTCAGGAGGTCATGACCTCGGCTATTAATATCCTATATCTTGTTAGAAGGAATACGCTCTGCTGACCTTGTACAGTTAACCTTACTAGTTGAACCATTGACGTCACTGTGCCATTCTTCTCCGTGTTGTACCTGAAACCGGCCAATTTTAACGCGAATAGATGCATTGATTAACGAATGTCTTGTCCTCGTGATTGTGTTCTTACATGTTCTCCTTATTAAATAAACGTAATTGGTTACGTATACTCTATTCTATCTGCCTATCTGCAAGGAGGGGGGGGGGGGTAAGTGGTGTGAACACATCGCAAAGATATTTGAGACACTTCTGACAAGGTTATGACAATAGTGGCACCCCATTATGTCTTGTAAGTGTCACTGGTGTTAAACCCTTGCTTAGTAAGTCCACATCTTTAATCAACACTCTAGTAACACCTACACTGTTTGAAGTGGTGTTTACAGAAATGAGAGACTTTTATGGTGTAGTCACCTTTACAGTTGACCGACAGCTTTTCACCTTCCCCCCCCCCCCCCCCCCAGCGTATTTCAGTGAGGGAATGTAGTATCCTTTTTAATGCTTATTTAAAGACACATTCTTGATACGGTTACTAATGCAAAGGACGTCAATGCTCATTGACGTCATTCGTTTTAATTTGTTGCGGAAGAAAACGACACGAGATGTTTGAATGTTAATTAATTGGAGTAATTGTCGGGATTTATTCTCGTAATCTCAACATTTAATATTTTCCATTTCAATCTCGATGATGCACATTATTTTTATTTTTTAAACTTCTCGCTTCTCCGTGCTCAGTTTGTGTTTCTTTTTTACATCATTAATAATTTAATTGCCCTGAAAATGACATTTGAGCAGCCGGTAAGTTATGATCGTGTAAAACTGGTCGTCTGACTATTGGGCTTAATCCACACACCGTCATCCAGCGTTAGTAATAATCTTGTCCATGCCCCCCCCCCTCCATTCAGTCGTCTAACAATGAGTATAAGAAACCGCAGTATGCATCATCAGAAAATAGTTAAGCGTTTAATCACAGTTGTCTCCGTATTAGAATGTTACACGGTAAGAAACGGATGTGTTATGTATTTAGGTGCCCCTTCCCACTCTCTCTCTCTTTACAGCATTTTGTTTTGTTTTATGCTTGATTCGGAAATTTTACCCCCTCCAGTGCATTATTTTCATACCACTGACATGTTGTGTATTAGAGTGTAGTGAGACGGGTAGAGTTGTAACCAATACACTGTTATTATATCGTTTTGTATTTCATTACTAGGCCATATGATAAACATTTCGAGTGGGTTTACACTCCCACTAATTGATGTAATATACGTTTTCTTGCCACGCTTATTTATTTATCCTTGGCTGTATTCGTTTCTGGCTCTAACATGTAAAGACGCGACCTCCTGGGTTGGCTAATAACACCAAGTGTAATATTGTAAGACGTTGAACCTTGCACAAGCGGGCAATGACCTACTGCTATTTTTTTTAATGTCCCGACTAATCCTGTATAATACTTTTTTTTTAAATTTCGCTTCAGCGTTCTGCCAAAAACACATGTTAGCACTTGGTTTTCATTAACTCGGTATTGTTGTGAGTATTCTGTTAATAGAAATGTTATTTTTTAAATATGGTTTTTAAAATAGATATTCCGCATTTGTTTAAATCTATATTATAATATAAGACGGGCCGTGTCAAAGCAAATCATTTTTGAAAATTGCCCTACTAGTTTTTATTTATCCCATTCCCCCGACCAGTTTCATGGAAAAACTTGAGCCAAAATTGACCAGTTTACCATACATCTATGAAAGGACAATAATTTCTCCACCGTGTAGAGTAGGCTAAAACAGTTAGTTCCCCTGGATGTTGCCAGTTTGTTACCGGGTAAAGTGTATGTGTGCTACAGGAACGTCGTGACTCTAGTGCTAGACGCTATCACCATCTTGATAAATCAAGACGATACCTCTGTTACATTCAATCAAACACTACTGGATTCTTCAAACAACCCCCCCCCTCCATTTACCTGTTTGTAGTTCTAATAACCCTGCGGAACATCAGTGTTCGTGTTGATGCACTCGGTTCACTTCTAAATTTAGACCGGCTATGTATGGTTAAACTCTGTGATCACTCAAGCTTGAGATCGTAGTCACGCAAGACGTGACCGCGATGAATACATCTCGCCAAGTACTTTTAGTAGCTTCTACATCTATTATCATATGATGTCCCTTAAAAGGACACTCGTGGGAATAACACTGAATTCTATGGAAAAGCAATATTATAACTGCACTACCGTGTTTATACCACTCAGTCTAACAAATTTGTATCTGTCTTTCTCCGTAAAAAAAACGGTAGTGAAGAAAATATCAGCTCCTCTAATTACGAAACTAGAACTGGTCCCCTGGTTTGAGAATCACTGCTGGAGATTGTATCTATTCTTAACCATCTCTCTTTTCAGTATTTACGTCATAAACAACTCCTCCAGCAACAACATGAGAAGCAGGTACAAGAGCATATTCAGGTAAAACATTCTCACTCTCTCAATGCAACATCACTTTGGCCAAACTTATAAATACACAGTATTACTTTCACAGTACTGCATTCCTTGAATAGTTCTTCAATGGAGCCAGTTCACATGTTTAATGGGAAAAGTTTCCACATTCTAGAAGTACTTGAAGTTAACTACAAAAATGTTTTATTTTTTTTTACTTAAAATGTATGTTGCCAGTTGAGTGGTTAGAATTAATCTTAGAATGGGGAGATGTTTTTTGAAAAATAAATATAAACAGTTGTGAAAAAAATGAAATAACTTATCAGACAATCAGAACAAGAGGATTGCATTTCATATGGCCATATTCATACCAGGAAGTGGAAGAAACTTTTTTAAAGTTTACTTTCACTTTTTCCCACAATTAACACAACCACTTCTACTCAAGTATTCACGCCTGCTAAAAATAAATGTCCTCTAGATTATTGTAAAATATCTTGAAATCTAGTTAGAAAACCATCCACTGTTGCTTAATGTACAATGTGTTGTCTTCCTATTCTTCCTTTATTTCCAGACTGTAGTTGTTGCCACCCATCCCTCTGTGTCTGTAATGTGTCTCTCTCACCTTGTCCTCTGCTGCAGTCATCTCTTACAAATGCTGCAGTCTTACTCATCCTCTCTTTTCACCCATCCCTCAAATACTTTGCTTTGTTAATGTTCAGCACACTATATCTCTCAGTTAGTCTTCAAATACTGTTGGCACTTTTAAAACACCTGCAGCAGACTTTTAACGTATTTTACTGTATGAATAGTAAAGTTCCTAATTAAATAAAACTTCTGTTATTAATTATTGGAATATACGGAATTATATCGTTAGACTTCATTATGTGTTGTATGTAATATGTGTGGGTGGGAAGTATTCCAGTGATCTTCATAAGCTGCTCAATATTTTTTTTAAAACATTGTTCTCATTAGTTTTGTTTGTAACTGTAAACCAGATGCTTAGATCCCTTAGAAAAATTAAGGCTGTGCATCATTAATATTTCTACACTGATCATTAGACTGCAAACATTACATCACATTCATAAACAAACAGTAGGTAAAAATGGCAAAGTAATGTGTATGCCCTCAATTAACTGATGCAAAATTATGCTGCTCATCTTTGAAACCTTTTTTTTTTACCCTGTGAGTAATGGTATTTTTCAACCTTTTTCAACCAGCAAGTAATATCAGGGAAAATAATCCTTTACAAGTTACATTTCATTTGCAGATAAATACATTCCACCTGGATAGTTTTTTCCCCTGACTGGCTGAGTCTTATTTTGAACAGGAGCCATCTTCCCCCCCCCCCTCCCCCTCTTCCTCCCCTCTTCCCAAGGTTAACCTGAGTTTGAGTTTAGGAAGCAAGTTTGTTTACACATAGCATTTACTTTTAGCCCTGAGACTGACAATCAGACTAAGTTATTTTTGTGGGTTATTTACACAGTGGCACATGTTACATTACAGGCCTGTGTACAACAGGTGTACTGCAAATCTCCATTTGAGGTACTATCCTCTTGGATAATCTACTTGAGTCTGTTGACCTACTCATTGCCTGGTGTTGAATTAGGTTCTCTGTCTAACCTGTAGCTAGACAAGCACACACTTTTCATGTGATCTACCTGTATAGGAGGGTACTTCTTTTTTTTGCCCCATTCACAGAGATTGGAATTTAAACTTTTTTTCAAATAGTGTATGGGCTTGGTACAAAGGTTGTCTAATATGAAAAAAAAATAAAAAAGTAAACAAAAGAAATTAAAAAGTTTCAAATCTCTAATATTTTTCTTGGTTTTTATTTTTTTTAAATATTTTTGTGTAGTTTCTCGTAAAAATGTTTTTTTTAAAGCGTTTTTCCGATTTTAAAGTTGTTTTAGTATTGTTTTGAACTAATATCATATGCATTTAAAATACTTCTATTTAAAGATAAATTGTGTAGTACTTTGGAAAGTTTAGGTTGAAAGTAAATTAGAGTTGTCTTCCCCAGGTTTTCTTGGAGCAGCAGCAGCTCCAGCAGAAGCAACTGGAACAGCAGAGGCTGGAGAAGGAAATGTTTGAGCAGGAGAGGCTGCAACAGATCAAGAACAAAACTAAAGATGAAGAAAGTGAGTCATTTGTTTCCACAGTAGCTCAATCTTTGCTTGAATCATCTAACAAATATTTCAACTAGACATGTAAATAATTGCATTAGGGATCAATGCGTGATGTTAGCTAACTAAACAAAAGAACACTTTTATCCTCTTCCAGGTGCAATAGCTTCTTCTGCTGTCAAATTAAAGCTGCAAGAGTTTGTCCTGACTAAAAAACACAGGGAAGCTGTCAAAGACCTCAATAATTCTCCCCCACAGTTCAGACACCATTGGTAAGTTTATAGCTCCACAACACAACACTGGGATCAGGCTAGATGTTTGTTCTGGCCAGATTTCACTGATTAGTAGACCAAATTTTATACTGTTTATTCCAAAGGTCACTCATTAAATTTTATATCTTTAGGATGTCAAACCAAAGATCACTATACTCATTAAATGTTATATTTTTAGGATATCAAACCAAGTCTCATTAGACCTAAGGTCACTCATTAAATGTTATACTTTTAGGGTTTCAAACTAAGGATCATTAGACCAAGGGTCACTCATTAAATGTTATACTTTTAGGGTATCAAACCAAGTCTTATTAGACCAAGAGTCACTCGTTAATTGTTATACTTTTAGGGTATCAAACCAAGTCTCATTAGACCAAGGGTCACTCATTAAATGTTATACTTTTAGGGTATCAAACCAAGTCTTGTTAAACCAAAGGTCACTCATTAATTGTTATACTTTTAGGGTATCAAACCAAGGATCATTAGACAATGGGTCACTCATTAAATTTTATACTTTTAGGGTATCAAACCAAGGATCATTAGACCAAGGGTCACTCATTAAATGTTATACTTTTAGGCAGGGGCGTAGCGAGGGGGGGCGGGGGGTGCGGACCGCACCGGGTGACACCATTTAGGGGGGTGACATCAAGGCAAAAAATAGCAAAATATATAGAGAAAAACTTGAGGGGGGTGCAAATCGAAAGTTTGAGGTGGGTGTGCAAATCGAAAACTTGAAAGTTTGTCCCCGCGAAGGGTCTCTACGTCTCTGGGGGTGACACCCGACCTCGCTACGCCACTGCTTTTAGGGTATCAAACCAAGTCTCATTAGACCAAGGGTCACTCATTAAATGTTATACTTTTAGGGTATCCAACCAAGGATCATTAGACCAAGGGTCACTCATTAAATGTTATACTTTTAGGGTATCCAACCAAGGATCATTAGACCAAGGGTCACCTCCTCTCAATCTATCTCCACCCTACACCCACCACCTCCTTGCCAAATATGAAGATGACTTCCCATTGAGGAAAACAGGTAAGGAGTCTTGTATTGTAAACTTATCCTCTCTTTAGGGTTTGGCACATGTACAATATCAACAGTAACTTGTCTCAGTTGAGTTCAAACCTTTTTGTTTCAACTATCTCCACACTGTATACTCATTAGGGGTTATATTCTTTGAAGTATAAGACTAATTAAAGAACAACTTTAGTGGTAGTGTAAATTATTGTAATAGAGGTAATTCCATGGCAATTCTCTCCTAATATTTAACAAGTTTGCTCAGTGTTATTTGATGTTTTCCTTCCCTGCTTGTTCTTTCAGATTTTTTTTTTGTGTTGCTTTTGTTTTTTTACAAATTTTTCTTTGGCATGACCTTTTGTATTAATCCATTGCTGCTTGAATAATACATAAACAGATGTGCTAAAATTTCAATAAACATTCTGTTGTGATATTTTCTTTTGTTTATTGTTGTTTTTAAACAATTGATAAAGGATCATTAGTATTTATAATTTCTAGTTGGAATTTTAAAATATGTGCAAAAAGCTGTTGTGTTTACTTGTTATTTAAAAATGCAATTTAAATATTCATAGGCAATATACATAACTATGTTTACACTCATACAATATTCTGAGTAGAAAATTAATATCAATAATGTAGTGGTAAAATCGAGTATATAATGATATTTTAACACAGTACAAAAGTCCCAAAAGAAATAATCTGGTTCATGACTTCTAGTATAGTGTTGTGTTGTGTGGTACCCTTTGCATTGTATGTACACAGGCCTGGTGTAAGGGTTGCTTGAAATTTTGAAGCTGAATTTTCATTTTACACAGCAGGAATTTTAATTTATCAGCCTTGTTTTTGTTCTTTATTTCTGTTTGACATAAATTATTGTTTTTATTGTTGTTGTGTTTGTGTTCGTTTCTGTAGTTTGGTTTTAAGATTGTTGCACAGAACACATTGCAACTCAAAGCTCCCAATTCCACCAGCAGTGATTCTGTGTTTGTCAATAAAAGTCTCCACATTTGTATTCCATGCTGGTGTTGTGTTTAAGTATTAACACGCCCTATGTTCCTAAATATGAAACAGTTACAGATGACATCAGTGAAATTTATTATACTAGTTTATTAAAAATGTATGCTGAATTATTGCTCTGCTTAGATACAGCCAATGTTGTTTCTACACCACGCAATGAGGAAAGCCCCTTTTCATTATGACTTAAGCTTGTATGCTCATATAACTGTATGATGCCACTCCATACTTCAAGTTTTACTGGTTTGTAAAAAAATATATATGTGAACAATGAGCATAAAGGAGGTTTTAATACGTGTAAAAGCTGACCACTAGAGAAAATAGGAAATCCTAATGCTTGGAGTTATCTGAACTATTGTTGTAGCATTGGAGATGTGCCATTGTTCACTGTCAATGGGGAGCTAATGAGCAGAGAGTATGTCGCTTTGTGATGGGAAATTCGTTATTACAAGTTTCAATACATCTTCCTTATTTTTCATTAGGAACCTGTCAATGAAACATGTTGCTGGTTAATACGTCTGGTAAACAGAAATACCTGACTTTGGTAGGGACGGTTTAATACTGAAGTTGGCTTAACATTTGGTGCGGTAGTACTACACCACTATGGTAGGAACGGTTTAATACTGAAGTTGGCGTAACGTTTGGTGCGGTAGTACTACACCACTATGGTAGGGACGGTTAAGTACTAAAGTTGGCGTAACATTTGGTGCGGTAGTACTACACCACTATGGTAGGAACGGTTTAATACTGAAGTTGGCGTACCATTTGGTGCTGTAGTACTACAGTATTTAGAGCACTACGATAGGCCCGGTTTAGTTATGAAGTTTATGTGCCATTTGGTGCTGTAGTTCTACAGAACTGCGGTAGGGATGGTTTATTTCTGAAGTTGGCGTAACATTTGGTGCGGTAGTACTAGAGTATTTAGAGCTCTACGATAGGCCCGGTTTAGTAATGAAGTTTATGTGCCATTTGGTGCGGTAGTACTGAAGTCTGTGTACGAGTTAGTTCGGTGGATGCAGTAGTACTAGAGTATTTAGAACGCTGCTGAAGAAATTGGGGGACGAAGTGTTGTTTACTAGCGAGTCCTGCGAGGGTTTATAAATAGGGATTGCAGGTGAGGGGGAAGGCTACCGTTGAAGTTTGTGTCAACATGACACTGCAGCCTTACATCTCGAGACCATAACGTACAGATTTAGCGTTTTTGGTCTGGTACTTCGGTAGGCAGATAACGAACTTTGATTTTTTTTTTGTTAATTATCTCTCAAGCAGAGCTTATCTGTTCTTGGTTACTTACTTGAACCAAATAGCCTACTTGGGACCAAGTCTCATGTTAGTAAACCAATCTAATGTTTCATTTCACTTGGTTTCTGTTTCCCTTACACAGTTTTAATTGGCATCTGTATGGTTTATATACATGTATGTATACTCCCCCTCTTCCATATTTTATTATTTACAGCCTACCTGAAAATGTGTCTGTATTCGCATGTTACAGTTTGTCTAAGTATGGAGTGCTCATCTGATAGCTTTTCAAGTGTGGCATTCACGTGTTTGGTAGCATACAATGCATTTCTCATTTTCAGCGTCAGAGTCGAATATACTAAAGATACGGTCTGCTCTGAAGCAGAAAAAGGAGGTGCGGCGGACCATGATTACACATAGTCCACTGGCGGGCCGCCGCGACAAGGGACCTCTTGGCATCAAGCGAAAAACGCCACTCTCAAGTACGTATGTTTTTGGAAAGCTACAGCTTCGCATATTCATTGTCATAAATGGTTATCAATCTTGGTATGGTAGTGAAATTAAAACGTTGGTTACACAACATATGGAACCATGTTTGTCGACTTCAGAATTTAATTTACATTGTTTTGTCTACTTCAGCCCTTCCGTGAAAAATAAACTCTTAAACAGGTGCCCATTGTACGCTGAATTATTATTTTTTTTAAAATAATAAGTACGTTAATGAAAGGTAAATTCCTGATCATGTAGCCGTAATGATTGTGATGGAGACACCCCATTAAAAACTAGTATCGAGCGTTAGGCCCACTCGAATACTGTGCCTATAATTTACATCAAAAGATTTGTTAACACATTCAGTCGTTTGAAATACTAATGTCACATTTCAAATGCGCGTCGGTTAACCATTATAACGTTGACACACACAAACAAACCTCTTTATTTACTGAAGATGTTGGGGAATTGGAAGAAAATCTATGTATAATTCTATACATTAAATGTATTCTACATCATTATAATATTTACCCACTCCCAGTAGAGAAACGGCTTCCCTTTTGTTGAGTTTGGAGTTGATAAATAGCGAGGTTAGTGAAACTGTAAAGCATTTGATGTACGTAGGTAAATAATTGAACTGCTTATCTGGGTAGCCGCGTAGATAATCGATGTATAGACCAGGATATACACTCGAGGACACCGACAAATATCTGTTTACAATCTTTTGGGGACGCAGTGGCCAGGAACTTCGTCCGCTTTCGTCTCTTTTTTTTTTATATATACAAGTCATCGTAGCGATGTGGTAGACAGCGGCGTAGCTGCAAATGTCGGCCATAGCTGACTCCTTTATTATGGAGTTGTAAAAAAAAAATGTTAACAGGTCGCCCCTCCCTCCCCACACCCAAGCTACACCACTGGCGACTGAAAATAGAAAAAACTGAAGATGTTTATATAAGAAAAACACAGTAACTTTACTATCAGTGTACCTTCTGTTCAATCGACTTCCTTACTATTCATGTGACAAAAATACATGTTCACTGAAGCGAGGTCTCGAAGACATGGCTTTAAATTTCACCTCGAGTCGTTTTATTCTGTTCCATTATAGCTGGAGTTAATTAGAAACAAACTGAAGTAAAAAATAAATCTGACGTGTGTTTAACAGACAAAACGGCTTAAATTTTAACTCTGATTTTGACAACAGAAAATTGGTTATAGAAAGTTTTTTCTCCCACGTCTCTGAGACAACCGACGTCATCAGATGCCGAATTATTTCTGAAAGCTTTAAATAAACAAGTAGGATTAAATTAGTTGACCCTAATTAACTCAGCCTTGTCATCGTATTTGGAAACAAAATATTTAATTTTTTTCCCCAAGGTGTTCAACATTTTGTTGGATATTCGTTGCTTCTTTCTTTAAAATTGTCATCACCTAATTTTTCACAACATTATTACTTAAAACAACAACAAAATTGATTTTAAAAAGTTAACCATAGTTTTTTCTCTGGTAAATAAACAGTGGGATTTTTTCTAGCTCTATCTAATGACGTGGTACGAAGATAAAAATAGCTTTATTGTGTTTTTTGGTGCAGATAAGTTTCAAAAAATTGTTGGTGAAAATACACGATTGTGTAGCACCGCGATCATATTACATGTGTATGGTTGTTGTCAGACAGGGTTGGCATGGTGCTTTTTGTACGCGAGAATTTGCTTTTTTATTAACTGGTAGAGAGTTGACTCCCTTTGAATTGTTGCTTGAAACAGCCCCTTTTTGTTCAACTAGCAGGAACTAAAATGAATAACACGTCATTTTGCGCATGGTTAACCTGCATAGGTGCATCAACCATCCCCCACACCCGTCTTTACATCTCATCTATCCAGGGTACCCTTCTCTTACTACACCAAAAAGACTTAGTTTTTAAAAATAAACTATTTACAATAAAATATACACGATGATTGAAAAAGACTTTGTGTTCAAACTTGCCATGATACAATGCAGATGTGTGTGCTGAAATTGCTCATGAAGCTGCATGATAACCCATGTTTCTCTTGTCCAGCCTACTAACCTCTGCCATGGTTACTTCCTTTTGATATTTATATCACATGTATGTATTTATATTCAGGTTTGGATGACTTACATTTGATGTACTAAGTCAGGCATTCTGCAGGAATTTAACGATAGGCTTACATTGACATATTTAGTTACAGTAGCATCAGATAAACACAAGCATCATTCGGTGATGAGAAGGGCCTAATGTCTGAAACTGCGGCCATCAGCCACTGTTAAGAGACTGTTTCTATTCCAGTAGATACTGGTGTATGCAGTAGCAACCCTGACTCTGGTCCTAACTCGCCGCCCGGAAGTGCTCACGGATCTATAGCAAATGGTAGCCTGTCGTCTTTACACTCTAAAGATGTGAGTACCCTCTCTTGTTGAGTTAAACATAGTTACTGTGTGTTGTGTCGTCTTTACACTCTTAAAGATATGAGTACCCTCTCTTGTTGAGTTAAACATAGTTACTGTGTGTTGTGTCGTCTTTACACTCTTAAAGATGTGAGTACCCTCTCTTGTTGAGTTCAACATAGTTAGCGGCGTTACTGTGTACTCTGTGTTGTGTCTTCTTTACACTCTAAAGATGTGAGTACCTTCTCTTGTTGAGTTAAACATAGTTAGCGGCGTTACTGTGTGTACTGTGTGTTGTGTCGTCTTTACACTCTAAAGATGTGAGTACCCTCTCTTGTTGAGTTAAACATAGTTAGCGGCGTTACTGTGTGTACTCTGTGTTGTGTCGTCTTTACACTCTAAAGATGTGAGTACCCTCTCTTGTTGAGTTAAACATAGTTAGCGGTGTTACTGTGTGTACTGTGTAGTGCCGTCTTTACACTCTAAAGATGTGAGTACCCTCTCTTGTTGAGTTAAATATAGTTAGCGGCGTTACTGTGTGTACTGTGTAGTGCCGTCTTTACACTCTAAAGATGTGAGTACCCTCTCTTGTTGAGTTAAATATAGTTAGCGGCGTTACTGTGTGTTGTGTCGTCTTTACACTCTAAAGATGTGAGTACCCTCTCTTGTTGAGTTAAACATAGTTAGCAGCGTTACTGTGTGTACTCTGTGTTGTGTCGTCTTTACACTCTAAAGATGTGAGTACCCTCTCTTGTTGAGTTAAACATAGTTAGCGGCGTTACTGTGTGTACTGTGTGTTGTGTCGTCTTTACACTCTAAAGATGTGAGTACCCTCTCTTGTTGAGTTAAACATAGTTAGCGGTGTTACTGTGTGTACTCTGTGTTGTGTCAACTGAGGAATGTCAACCAAATACTTTCTTGATAGCGGAGCCAAGTTTAACATTGTGTGGGTGTACATTCATATTAGTAACGGTATCAGTGAACATTGACTAGGAAAGGCATACTTACATTGTGTAAAGTAGGGATAGATTTCTCAGTTGGTTGTTTATTCAAGATACACATATACTGTTAGTTATCTATTAATAGCTAGCCAGGACTGAAATAAATATTTGAAAATGTATGTTTAATCATCAATTATTAAATTATCACAAATGTAGGTTATGTAAATGTGTATAAAGAAGCATCCCTGCGCACATTGTAAATATGTATTTGACCGTGAAAGAGGGGGTTAGATTTATGTTTTACTTAACGTCATCTAATATTTACTGTTTGTATAAACATTTTACCTAATCCAGTAGCCGGGGTAGTTTGGTCTAGATACGGTGAGAATCGTCTTAAGGGTTCTCAACCTTTAATGAATATGAAAACATATTATGTATCAGTACTCCCCCAACACACACATACACGCATACAAAGATATAAATATCATTCTCAGTGTGCAAGAAAGAATGGAAAGCTAGCCATACAGTTAAATCTAATTAAAAATTGTATTGTTTGTTAAAAAAAATTAGGTTTATCTCACAGCAATAAGTTTCGTACATCAATGTTTTAGTTGTATGCCGTCATCATTTGCTTGTTGTTACCCAACAAATAACACAGCGGACAAAGTGGGGTCGTTAAAGCTTTTGTCTGGAGTTTTTTAGACGATACTGGAACCCATTTCTGATTTATTATCCGATAAAGTGAATCTAAGGAATCCGCTAGAAATAAAAGCAGATTTTATTGAAACAAAACACCGGGGTTATTTACCTAGCTGTTCTCTGTACTGAGCACATTGCCCGTTATCGGCGATGTAAGATTGCCAACATTAGTTTTAATCTCTTGAATTGTTTGCATGTGCACATTTAATGCACATGTTTATATTTTTCCAATTGTCGTTGATCAGATTATGGGCCACACAGGTCCAATTGTAGAAAATATGTTACACTGATGCTTAGCTTGAAAAGATCAAGTCTACTCGTCTCCTTTGATAGCTTGATACTTGTCCTGGTATTACGTGCTCAGGCATTGAATCACAGAAACTGTTTATCTTTACTCCTTCTCTCCCTAAAGACATCACCTGATTTTGTCAGACATTAAAGTCAAGTCTTAAAGTTTTGGTGTTTTATTTTACGGCTAAAACATTTGGACGAGAATAGCAGCTCTCGTTACGGAACTAGTTTCTTATGTTGGGTTGTAGTGGTCGGCTTTGTGATAAGTTAAAAGACGAAATTTCTTGTAATTTCGTGTTAAAGATATTTGTGCTGTTAAATTAGCGATCTATCCAAACTTGGTCTGTCATGCGTATTTGATGACTCCAGTCGCAAGTGAAGATTGTGTTGCCTAGCTGTGCATCTGTCTATCTGATCCGTGTGACGCCACTTAGTGAGAGTTGATGATTCGACTTAGTGGTTGATCTTTGAGTAGAATCCCACATTTGTTGGCTGTCGAGCCTGTGTTGAGCCATACTTTTGATGTATGTATTTAAACCACAGTTTTATCTTTATGTTCATCTAGTTTTAACCTCAGACACCGTCAGGCAGGTGGAAAAGAAATGAACTCGGCTAAGCACGTGCAATAACAGTAGCTATCAGATACATACTCCGCCCCCACTTGCCCTTCCCTCTTTTTTCAATTCTCGCTTTAAAAATAATTGGCGCTGGAAAAAGGGAGAAGAGGAAAAAAAAACTCCATTATCTTAGGTATGTAAATAGTTGAAATCGCAAGAGAGTTCGTTTGTATCTATTTTTAAATAAATTTCTTTCGGGCCGGTTGCAGCATCGAAATATTTTTGTTATCTCCTGACAGAGATAAAACCTTTAGTGCCGGCAACGTTAGCATTGATTCCACGCGGGGTCTACCAATAACAGGTTGAATATAGGGGAAATCAAAGTTAATGTGGATGGCGGTGGTGGAAATAGAGCGGGTGAATCCAAGTTTTTCTAGCGATGGTTTATACTCCATCTTTTCTAGCGATGGTTTATACTCCATCTTTTCTAGCGATGGTTTATACTCCATCTTTTCTAGCGATGGTTTATACTCCATCTTTTCTAGCGATGGTTTATACTCCATCTTACTTAGCTTGTAAACACGGTACTTGTCTATTGGTGGACTCCCCTTCCGGCAACAGTCTACCTTTTTTTTACCGTGCGCAATTTTGAGCTGTTGTCTCGACGTTTCTGGAATGCTAATTTATCTAGTAGACGTTCACGTGTAGCATGGGATGGGAGAGAAGAAATGAATGAGTATTGAATCGGATGGGCGTTGGCGGGGTTTAAATATAGATTTTTTGGAAAACGGGATGGGGTTGGGTGGGGGGAAGGTTTAAAAAGTAGCATTGCTTTTCCTTAGTAAAATCAACTAACACGTCGTAGTAAACTCAACTTGTACATCGTTTGATTTCTTAGTCACGTCTTATCAGGACTAGAGCACTGATTTTAGCTAGAGTGAAAGAACTCTGGTGAGGATAAATTGCCTTAGAGTTTGTAAAACCAAACGATTGATGGCTTCTCCCCCTTCTGCCCCCCCCCCCCCCCACCCCCCCTCTCTCCTGTAGCATGCACCGGGAACATGCACTCTAGCTATCAGCTCTAGTCTAGACTAAATACAGAAGCCAGCGGTTCTGTAGCCATCTCTCACCTCATTTTTTTCTCCCCCTGCATCAATTTTTTTTCTTGTTCTTCCTCTCAGTAGCCTCATCTTGGCTCCCTGCCAATAATGGCACAGAGAACTTGGACCAGGAATTTTAACTTTTTAAAAAACAAAAAAAAAATGATAACTGCTTCTATTAAAAATCAGCCCTGTGTAGTTGTCTTCCTGGTTTGTTTTGACCAGCAGCTGTTACAGATTCTGTTTAGTTTTTAGCAATACAGTCTGTGTTACATTTATTTCAACATCAGCACACACAACCCACACCTTGAACTTTGAATACTATTGGTTAGCCTGTCTTCCTACTAGGACATAGAGACATCCTGGCAACTAAGTCCTAATAGATGGAATGCCATGGAGATTATTTTTTTTTGTCTAACATAATTGATGGAGTATTTAAATTTAAATAATCAAGCTATGCATACAACAATAGATGTATTATAAACCCTTAAGAAATAAAACTGCAGTGTCAGGCTTCTCAGGCCTGATATGATGAAGTTATATTTACATACACTGGTTCTTTCAGGATTGATTTTTTTAAAAAGAAGTTGTGTATGTTTTTTTCTGGATAATTGGCACTCAAGGCATTTTATATAAGTAATAAGACCTTAAAGTGCTGACTTAGTAAAAAAAAATAATGTTGAGGAATGCTGAAGATTGTTGAACAGACACTTTATTTGTGTAGATCAGCACCGTACACTTACTCTAAAATAAGACACAATTATCTATAAATATAAAATAAAAAACACTTCTGCATGATCAGTTTAACCATAACTTACAACTAAATAAGTAATTATTTATAGCTATGACATTTCTATTCAACATGTTATTTCTTGTATTGATGGCTATGAGAAGAGAGTGTGAAAGCCAGATTTAGAAATGTGAAGGTTGAAGTATTTTTGGCTCTGGCCTGTCTGATTGATCAAAATTTCAGTGCTTGCTGTTTGGCTAGACTTGAGCTCAAGCTGTTGAGATTGTCTAGTTTAATCAATACCACTAGGTTACGCAATCACTGCTGGCATTGCGATACTCTGTGCCAATGGCTGCTAGCTGAAATGGGGGGAAAGGGGAGGGGGTAATGTTTGAATAAAATAGTTTTATTCAGAGATTTTACTTATATTATTGTTTTTATTTTTATTTTTATTTTTTTTGCAAGTTAATAGAAACACATAAAATAACAAATCTCTCTAAGCAATATTATTTTATTTAAAACTCAGGAGTATTCTTTTTAAAAACTGACATTGAAAAAAAAAGGTTACCTCATGTAAACTATAAAAAAAAAAGTACTAGTTATCTATTCTTGAAGGTAATTATTTAAAGCAATATAATGTAAATATTTCTGATTAGCTGATCTCCTCCTCCTCCCCCCCCCCTTTATGGTGGTAGACAAGCTAATTATGTTTTTTAAAAGCCTATCTGTAGAGGGTTTAACAGCAAACCTAGGTAACTGTTGCTAGCATTACAGCTCCCCCCAGTCCTGGGTTTTATCATCTTGTCAGCAAGATTACCCTTTCAAACCAGTTGATGCTATTTAGAATATTTACCTAGCTAGCACAAGTTAACTCTAATTCCTATCTCCATTTGACCTCCTCCATCTTTTTATAGAACAGAGATGGCAGGTAATTAGCTCTTTTCTCCCATATACAATTGGCAAGATTTCACTCTCCCAGCATTTTAGTTGAGTATTGACACCCACTTTCTTACAAAGATAAGAAAAATAAGCTTTTAGAAATAAAAAAAATAAAAAGGTACAGAGATAAAGTAAGTAAAGCTGTAGCACCAGTTGCTGCAAATCATCTCTTCTAAAAATCTTACAGAGGTCGCATCTAAAATATTACGTGAATTATACAATTGATATGTTAAAAACATTCACTTTATATTTTTACTATACAATTTAAGCCGTGTTAAAATGAAGGATTTGCCACACAGCTGTGCTTAGAGATATAAAAATATTTTTAAAACCATAAAACATTAATTTTTTTTTAAATTAAAAAATAGGTTACAGAAACACCAGTTACATTCATGCACTAGAAGTTTTTTTTTTTTTTTAATTTAGCCTAACATAAAGCAGATAGTGGCAAGACAGATAGACAACTTACACAACTGCAAATTGTTCATGATAACTACTAAAAATAAGACAATTTATATACACTAATGACAGAAAATTAGTTTTCTTAAAAGACATGTTTATTACTTCAGAATATGTCACAACTTGGTTGGATGTTCTGGACATTGAACTTCAGATGTTTATAACTAGCAGGTGTAAGAAATGTAAAATTCATTAAGTTTGAATTTTTACCAATAATATCACAGAAATTATATTTTGCATTTTTTTTTAAACTAACATCAATCAGACTCTTGAATATTCAGCAGTTTCTACTGAAATAAAAAGTCTAACGTGAAATAAAATGTTTATTGTCAAAGGATTTAATAAAGCCAAAATGAAAAAAACAACTGGATATTTCATAATGTATTTAAGTTGTTGCGCAATATTTCTCATCTAATATACCATTTTTTTTACTGCAATATATCTTTTTCAAACTTTAATGTAAATGTAGAAGTCTATCCCAAAAAAAAAAATTCTCAACGATTCAACTTAGTTTGCTAATTTCTGTGTGTGTGACCCATGTCTGTCTCCTGACTACTTCTACACATTTATTTTATTTATGAATACAGTCAGGCTCTAGTCATATTGAATGGCAGCAACACCTTCAGCTATATCATCAGAATAGCCTTGGTGTTGTAGACCCTACCTAGATTGTACTACTTATCATTGTATCTGAATTCACAGGAGAGTCCAGGCTATGTGTTCCCTTTCCAACACAACCTCGTGTATCCCAGTGCAGAACTCTTGTATACCTCTCCATCCATGCCCAACATCTCTTTAGGTCGTCCACCAACATCAGCATCAGTAAGTCATTGCTCTAACTTACATTCAATAGAATTCTTGCTCGTTTATTAATGCTTATAATTATTTTTTATGCTTTATATGCTTATGTGGTAACAAAGAATTTTTAAGACTTAACAAATTAGAAATTTGTACCAACTTGAGACTGATATGAAAAGATTGTTTGGAGTTATTTTTTCTATAAGATGCATATAGCTTTTGAAAATATTATGGTAATCTTTTATTTGTAATGATGTTATACTTAAGATATTACTAAAGTGATATTTGTTTTGTTGTGTATATGTTAGAGCTATTGGGCGTAACACATCTGGACATTATGTTTCAGGGGTCACCAGTGGGCACAGAAGATGACATTAGGGCTGCCATGTCAGCCAGACTAGGCATTGCCTTACCTGGGCCTCCCCACATGATATCTGGGGCTCTTCCAGGCTACTTCCCTGCTTTACCAGGTCAGTTGGGAACAAATATATTTCTCTTACAAGCCTTGTCTGCCTATTATGATTGAATAAAATTCCAGTGTAGTACAACCCAATTGATAATAAAGCACATAAGTAAATTCTTGCTCAATTTAGCTAAGTCTAATTGGTAATTTATTTTTAAACATTGTAAATAGTTGTAAATATTATAACAAGATTCCCCACATCAACTTTTTAATATTGCATCATATTACTACCTTATGTGGATGTTTTTAATGTATCTTTTATCTTCCTTTACAGTACTTGATGGAGAATTTCCTCCAGGTTCAACACAGGCATTTTTGGCATCACAGGGTAAATTGTCCCCTTCAGGTACTGCAAACTCACCTTTAGCTAGTCCATTCATTCCAGTCACAGCAGCACCTGGGCCATCAGTTCCTCATTCAGCTCACAGATTACATAGGTAAGTTTTTTTGTATGCTACTCTCACCACTTCATATAGCAAAGTAAATGATGTTTAAACAGTACTAACTTGGAATTTCTAACTAGGAGACTCGTAGTAGGATGCTAGGTCTTACAACTTATAACCAAAAATCTCGAGTTTGAAACCTGGGTTGGAGTCTGTAAGACATTCCTGAATCCACCCAGCTCTGATGTGTACCTGATTCACATTGGGGAAACTATTTATGCTGGGTAAAGTGCTGAACACACTATCGCTTCTTATGCCAAAGTAATTGAACCAGATGAATTTTAACTTCATCTGGTTCATGTGTCTTGGGCACAAACGGGGAAAGGTGATGATGAACTAGACAGTGACCAAAATGTCTTGCTTCAGATATGTAACTTTGATCTTAACTGATAAAAGTTTTACTTGTGAATATCATTATACCTTGTACACAGTAACAGTTTTTTACAAGCTGCCATTTTTCTAGTCTGTAGTATTTGTCTTCATAAGTAAATTATTTTGCCTGTGAATATCTTAATTTGGAAGTGATAAACTTTTAACAGCATAGTCTCCCTGATGTTGTCAACAAAATATGCATTAATAAATACAGTGATCTGTTCTACAGACATAGACCTTTAGGACGCACTCACTCTGCACCACTGCCCTTGGGAGTATTCCACCAACAACAAAACCTCCTTCTACAGCAGCAACATGAGCAGTATCTCAAAGATCAGAAGCTTTATGTTAAACAGGTCAGCAGCATATTTTAACTTAAGACAGCTTTTGGTATTGGTACTTATATTTTAAACATCTATCATTGAAATTATATACATAAAATTAATAGGAACCCTACATTCCATCTTCAAAGTTACAGAAAATAATTTTCCAAATGTGCAAGATTTATATTCACAATCTGTGTTTAATTCCATCCTATCATATCTTTTTCACATTTATATTTTTTTATTCCAGCATATCAGACAGACTGTTTTACAGAGGTCTGGAAGTAAAAGTCATATGGAGAATGTTGATGAAGAAACAGAAGTAAAATTAGCGCAGGTTAGTTCAACTTTTTTCATCTATTTATAATCAGTCAAAAAATAGCTCCTGTGATTATATTTATGGCAGCCAAAACAGTATAAATTATTGTGTGCACTGCGCTTTGAGGTTTTTTTTAAATAACCATTTATTTTTCTCTAATCTTGGAATGCTTGCAAAAATATAATTGAAAATGACAGGTTTATTATGAAGAAATGTTGTAATTTATTGCAGGAGATGAAGGAATGTAGAGAAGCAGAGACTCTAGAAGGTAGAATGGAGGATATCAGTGCGCCGTTGTCAGGCCAAGTCATATCACAACATTCATCACCATTAACAGCTGCAGCCATAGCTGAGCATGGGCGGGAGCGTGATAGCCATGTCCTGCTAAGTCCACATCGGGACACACAGAGGACACGGCATAAAGGTCCCTCCCACCATAGGCCCCTGTCTCGTACACAATCCAGTCCACTGGTCACTTTTTCAGTTCCCCCGCAGTCAGCCCAAGACTCTGGCCCTATAACTTATACTTTTACTACAGGTAATTGGACTGTACCTCTAAAAAAAACATTTTTAATCACTCTGTTGTGTATCAATTATTTTACATTTCTAAACCATTTATTTTCTTATAACCTGCTAGGTTTGGCTTATGACAACACCATGTTGAAACACCGCTGTACATGTAATGATCACTCAAACCATCTAGAACATGCTGGAAGAATCCACAGTATATGGAACAGATTAACAGAGGAGGGACTTGAAGCTCGTTGTGAGGTAATGCATACAAAAAAATCTTTTTTTTTACAGAGTTCTTTTGTAGATTGTCAAAGTTCAAATAACTATTCATAAGCATAGTTTTTTTGTTCATTTTTTCTCTAAGAAAAGGGTAAGATTTAAGGGGAAATATAAAAATTACTTAAATATAAGTTGAAATGTGAAATAACATTTTCATTAGGCAGTTTCCATTCATTTCAAAACATGTATTTGATAGATGCCAATAAAGTCAGAATCTCAAGCTAACAATGTATTATAAAAATGTGTTTATTCTGTTTCAAGCATGTGAGGTCCAGAAAAGCTACCATTGAAGAACTACAAAGTTGTCACTCAGAACAGTACTCTCTTATATTTGGTGGCAATCCTTACAACAGACAAAAACTCTTTGGTAATTACTTTATTAGTTCAGCATCCATTTCACATTATTTGGTGTTAGGGATAAATAGTTTTATTTTACCATGGTATATGTGTCAGAAGTAGTCTAAATTGAATCAGAATCTTTATAGGTTCCCAGAAAAAATGGGAAATTGGAAAAATGCGCAAACAGAAAAATGTGCTAATACAAACTAATTATACCTAACACATTTTAATTTTGTGTATTCTGTGGAAATATGTTCTATTATGCTACAATGTACATGTAGTCACCCTTTGTTAATGTCTATAAATGCTCGATTAGAAAAAACACAAATGCTCTTGCAGTTTTCCGTTGCGCATCTTTGCGGTCACTGACTTTGAAATGTGACCACAATGACCTGAACGTATTTTGACTGCATTCCTGATGGGAATATTTTAAGCATTTTTAAAAATCTGCGACATGTGTATTGTTCAAATAATTACCTTTTTACTTTATGTTAAGCATGTTCTCTTTTATAGCCTGGCCTGTATTATTTTACTAAAAATATTCATTCACCAATTGTGTAAACCTTTTTAAAAAAAATTTCTTCTTGTGCAAATAATAAATGTAAAACTGTCTGTGTTAACAGAAAGCTCATCCAAGAGGTTCTGCCTGCTGTACTGTGGTGGTATAGGTGTTGACTCAGACACTGTGTGGAACGAAGTTTACACCTCCACTGCTGCTAGAACGGTACTTTGGCTTTTATACACATTTATCTGGCCAGTTTCATTGCTTAAAGTTTGGAATTATTTATTTTTTTCCTATTTTTTAACAAGTATCCCTAATTTATTGTAATGTCATCTTTAATAAATCAATGTACGTTACCTTTAAGGCTGCTGGGTGTGTCATTGAACTGGCTTGTCGTGTAGCAGCTGGAGATCTTAAGGTCAGTGGGTCACTTTTATTGTGGTACTGACACACTTGAAGTTTAAAACACCTATGTCAAGTGTATTAATTTTAAAATAAAATATGTCCATACTATATTAAATTATTTAATTAAATGTTCAACATTTGTGCTGTTCCAGAATGGTTTTGCTGTAGTGCGACCACCAGGCCATCATGCAGAACAGGACACTCCCATGTAAGTTAATGGCTTCGATGCAAGCTCATTTTTAATTTTTATTATATATTGCTCAATTTACTGATTCATTTTTATCTTACTGGTTTTAGAAATGAAAGCTAAAATTATATTTTTCAGGGGCTTTTGTTACTTTAACTCTGTGGCCATAGCAGCCAAACAGCTGAAGGCAAAAATGAACCTACAAAGAATTTTAATTGTGGACTGGGTATGTCAGATTTTTAAATGCTGATTTTGTCTTGAAGACATTTCATAACTTACAATATTTGATGCATTATGTTTTACCTGCACAAATTTCTACTAAATCTTAGTTTGTGTATAATATCTGTTTTGTGTAAAATCTAAGAAAACATTTATAAAAAAGTAACTTGTGTGACTACAAGTGTCCCTTCTCATTAAGTACTAACGCTGTAACATTTATTGAAAGATTAAGTCATTGATTACTAGGATATCATTGTAATACATTTTTCATGAAAATATTTCTTTCTTGTCCAGGATGTGCACCATGGCAATGGGACACAGAAAATGACATACGATGATCCACATATTCTGTACATATCAATTCACCGCCATGACAACGGGAACTTTTTCCCTGGAACTGGTGCCCTAGATGAATGTGGAGAAGGTCCAGGACTTGGCTTCAATGTGAACATTGCTTTTGGTGGCAGTCTCAACCCACCTATGGGAGATGCTGAATATATGGCTGCATTTAGGTTAGATTAATATAATTCATACGCTCATTACAGTGTTGAAATATTAAATATGTAAACCATATATTTTGTAATTTTTTAATAGAAATTTGTTTGTGGCTACTTTAATTAATTGATTAAGGAACGGTATGGCCTAGCGGTAGAGCGCTAGACTGCTAATCTGAAAGTCTTGAGTTCGAATCCAGGTTCAAGCCAATGGATTGTCCCTTATTCCACCCAGCCCTGATGGGTACCTAACTCATGTTAGGGAAAGTAAAGGCGAGTGGGCATAAAGCTAATGACATTATCCCTACATAGCCGAGGTCAAGAAACAAATGAACTAATCTGCCCAATATATAGGAATCTTTACCTTTTTTACTTACTTTAATTAATTATATTTTACTATTACAGAACAATTGTGATGCCAATAGCTCGTGAATTCAAGCCAGAATGTGTTTTAGTATCAGCAGGCTATGATGCTGCTAAAGGACACGCAACTGCATTAGGAGGATATGAAGTCTCACCTGAGTGTAAGTTGATGAGCTTTGTTTTTAACAAGTGGATTTTAAGTTGAATCTGTAATAGTCAGGGTGGAAAACATTAGTTAGCTGTTTAGACTTAGTGTATCCAGTGAATTGATAATAGTTCCTAACAAGTTATTTTATCTTTTCTGTCTTCAGGCTTTGGTGTATTGACAAGGGAATTGATGTCCCTGGCCAATGGTAAAGTTGTTCTAGCATTAGAAGGAGGTTATGATATCCCTAGTATTTGTGATTCTGCAGAGCTTTCAGTCAGAGCATTACTTGGTGAAGAAGTAAGTCACTTCCTTAGTCAGAGTTTCTACATAAATTTATAATTTAAAAAATAACCTGTTTTTAGCTGCTGGGACTGTAACATAAGTTTAAAGCACTATTGAAGTCTGTTTTGTAATGTCATACCAAGCAATAATTAAAATATTTGTATTAACAGGGTTTCTATTAGTCAATACATGAATGTTTATATTTTAGCTGAGGCCTCTAAGAGAGGAAGAGCTAAAGAGGTCTCCTTGTAAACCAGCCATTGACACATTAGAGGCTACTATACAAATACAAGGTACAAGCTCGAATAGCATTTTGGATTTTTACCCTTCTTAGTTGGCTTTCTTTGTTTAATTTTTAGTAAAAACTATAGGCCCTACTTTTAAATGGACTTACAATTTAAATGAGTTAATAGCAGTTTAGATTGTTTTATTAAACATGCTTGTTTTAGGATTTAAATATGAACACTGAGTTTTTTGTTGTTGAAGTAGTACATTTAAAGCTAGAGGTTCTAGCTGAACCATAAGCAATAAGTTAAAGTTGTTTGGGTAGAGAGTATATAAATCAAACTGGGTGTTCATCTTGTAAGAAGACATGTGTAACTAGCAATGTGTGTCTTATTTCAGCTGAACACTGGCCATGTGTCAAGCGCTATGCTGGCACAACTCATCACTCTTTAATAGACTTTCAAAATGTTGACATGGAGGAAGCAGCCACAGTATCTGCCCTTGCTTCCCTTTCAATGGTTCCTTGTAAACAGAGGTTTGCTATTGATCTTTTTTTATTGACATAATGATAACAAGTTTATTAACAATTGTAAATTTTTTAAAATCAATAATTAGGTAATTCATTATAGAATTCAATAAATTTTTATAGCATTAAGCGTCTAATAAATTTTATATTAATAGGGAATTTTGTTGACTATTGAGAACTCAGTTCATTCTTGTTAATTTATATATTTTTGTTTAATATTACAGAAGTACTATGGAACAGCAATCTGAACCAATGGAAGAAGGGACATAATTCTTTACAACCTCAAGGATCATTTCACTTCATGGCCCTTGCTGCCTTAGTAACTAGCACAAACCTCGCTGGCTTTGTCGTTGTTACCATCATTGTTGTTGTACCTTGTTGTTGTAATCATCATGGTGATAGATGGTAGCCGCCATCCCCATCTAGCTTCACTCCTTCTCCCTATGTTGACTAATTTGGATGAAACCAATACATGTAGTCAGCCCACTGCTCTGTCCGTGTGTCACCTACACAAGAGCATCTTCATGGCTGTGTGTTGAAGTCACCTGGTCCAACCAGCTTCAATGTTTTTGTGACTATAGACAAGTGAAAACTGTTTCACTGCTTACTAAGCATGTGTTTTGTTTTTTTTTTGTTTTTTTTCACAACTTTTGGAGAAACCAAAAAAAATTGTATTCTGTTCTTAGGATACAAGTGAGAGAACCATTCTATTGTTTTGTGTATATTTCACTGTTGCTGGATTAAAACCTTGAGACAGAGATCACCTAGAGTACAGCACACAACAACAGCCTGGATAATACCTTCTGACAAGACTTCATCATGGCCGTATCAGAAAGGGAACCCGTTTGAGTAGATCACATATATAGCGACTTCCAGTCTTCTGTAGAGTTGGACACTAGCTGCTTTAGTTTATTTTTTAATGCAGAGCTAATTCAAAACCATTTAGTTTAGGTTTGTTTTGTTTTTTTTACTTTTTTTTTTAACAACATAAACTGTACTGAGATTTAAGTCATTTGTGTGCCATACCCAGTAAAAAGATAAGGCATTAACACGAGTAGTTCCCTCTACAGCTGGTTTGTAGCTGGTGTAACTATGGAGTGCCATTTCCCTTCTCCCCCCTACCCCCAGTGTAAAATTTGTGCTAGGAATAGTCAATGGATTGTGTTCATATTCCCTGAAGTGATAGAAAAATGGTTAGAGTTATTAAAGCTATAATATCTATAGACCTTTGGCCATCTGCCTGCTGTGCCTTCTAGTTGAATGGTTAGATGCAACTTGAGTTGTTCAGTAGATGGCTGTAACATGCTGATATGGTTAGTTTAGATGGACCAAACTCTGAAGCCGATCTTGAGGTTCCTTTGTTTCACAAATCAAAGTGAGGTGGAATAGCTAGCTAACATAAACAAAAATTGAATCTTGAAATGTAAACAGTTTAGAAGAATGTGCCAAACAAAACAGGTGTAGAAATAAAAATGTGACAATTACCTCAGCTAAATCAAATGGGATTTTTCGTGAGATAATCTCAATTTCTCGCTACCACATTTAATTTCACATACCCTATATGTAATGTACAAAAAGTTGTGTTAACTGATTTTTTTTTATTATTATTATAATTATTCCCAATTGCTATATCTTGTGATGTATTTTAAATGCTACAAATGTTGTTTTAATGACTCATTGTTGGTTACTAATAATTCTAGTGGATGAAAGCACCAGTTGCTTGTTGTCACCAAGAACTCCTTATGAAATAAATCCGGTCACACACAAATGCTCTATATTGTCTCAAGTGCTTTCACCATTCTTTGCTGTTGACTACTCTGTACAAATTCTATACCACACACCAGAAAACCCTAACCAGTTGAAGATGATATTAAGATGAAATAAAAACACACGTTCTTACATTCAATAAGTCAACTGCATTGATGGTTAAAAAAAATGTGTCATTTTTGTTTGCTTGAAACAATTTTGTAAGGTCTTTTTGTTTGAATTCCTAAATAGAAAGTCTTTTTTATCTTACATTATAAATGATATGGAGGACTATCAATTTGATCAGCAATATAATGTGATTAAAAGGAAAGATAATTGTGATTCACTTAGATAGAACTTAAGGTGCAATAAATAGAAAAATATGAATGAAAGAGGTGTACATTTGATTATAATTTTAGTCCAAAATACTTTAGCAGATTGTAATTTAAAGCTAGTTTTTGCAAGGTGCAGTGCACTGATCACAGTTAGGTTGACACTGAATAGTTGTGTGAGGAGAAATGTTTCTTTAAGAAATTGTGAAGTGTTTTTTTTGTTGTTGTTAACTGTGTATCTAATTTCTAAAACAAATTTGTGCATGAAATTGATTTATCATGATTACTATACTTAATATATTGTACACATTTTATAATATTGGTATATAACATTTGATATGTATAGTTTTTTTTCTGTGGTGCTGTCACATAGTGCTATATAAACTGTTTATTTGGTATAATTTATGAGTGGATTCTATATTTAAACCTGATTACACATTCATGTCCTGTCATCATTTTACAGATCAGATTCTATCATTAGACATTTGCCATATTTGTAACTATTCAACTTTTATAGTAACACTTTTTTTATAGGAAAAAAAAACACCTGATTTAAAATCAGTTTTGCATATTATTTCTGATATTAAAAGTGTTCTTGATCTTAGTATTATAATTGTTTATATGAGAGTAACATTTCTGATGTCTTGTTTTATTTCTATTTATTACTAGATATAATAGCTGTTTATTGATCATTTTTGTATTTGTTTATCTTGAATACTACTCTCTCATCAACAAAAAACCAGATTAGTGTTTGGAAGCTCAACAAGTGATTTGTTGAATGAGGTAACTAAACATCCAGTGTCCCAAAAATTCACATACACATAGACATCTTCTGTTTATAACCAAGCTCGTACCAACATCAATTCAGATTTCATTACGCTGAATCTCAAAATGTGCAGTTTTAATGCACATCAGTTTCTGATGGACTAGTACAAGATATCATTGCCTCATGTTTTGATGAATCATTCATCAGATTTTTACTTCATGTCTTGAACCTCAAGAAAAGTTCTTTTTCAAGAAGCCAATGTGTGCACCACAGTATTAAAAATAATTTCTAATCTTTAGTTGAGATTCTTTTTCTCTCACTATTTGTAAAATTGTAATAAATAAATCCTGTCATGTATTGTAAATAGATGAAAAGTAAGTTTTTTTTAGCTGGTGCCACATTAAATATCTACGTGTAAGTTAAAGTTTATTTCTACACTAACATTTCTCTATAAAAATGTACAATTCTCTTGCAGCAGTGGCTAACCAAGGGAGACAAATTGGCTCGGGCAGTAGTGTCACAAGGGGGATAACAACCTCTTCATGTTTGGCCACTGCTGGTCTCTTGATTATATGCCACATTCTTTCAAAGGAATTTTGTGAAGCTGCCATTTATTTTAAAGAAAAAATATACATATACAAACATGTGATATCATTTCTTAAGGGAGGCAACATTATAACATGAGCAGATGTCTACATTGAAATTGTTTTCTTTTTTGTTTATATCTGTATTGAAACAAAACTAAAGCATTCATTGATTATATGTGACTCAAAATTTGTGTTTAATTTCAATTGCTAGGTACATTTTCTCTGTAAATACTGTTGTCAGTCTGAACTGTTTTACAAGTGCTTATCTTGTATTCTCATTATTGTCTTTGTGATGTTACATCGCCTGTTAGTCTTGTCAAACAGTTGAAACTTTTTTTTTTTAAATACAGGTCTTATTTTGGTGGAACTATTACAAGTGTTGGTGTACACGCTTACCCATGTAAATGTATTGAATCTTGTTAAAACTTTTCCCTTCCCATCCCCTTCAACTCCCTTATAATTGCCAGTGACCTGTGATTCTTGGCTGTCAGGTGATGTAAATGGGCACAAATGTTGCTTTTATTTTCAGTGGGATAGATAGATAGTATAATTAAATAGAAGTTGTTTTATGAAGCATTAAAAACATTTTACTTTTAAAGAAGTTGCATTTATGGGATTATTTTTATAAATTTTTTTGTTTTGTTTATTCATGAGAAATTTTTTGAAATTATGATTTCATGCAAGTTTTTTAAAATCCAATCCAGGGGTAATTTTATAACTAACTTGCATTTAGACAGAAAATTTAGACCAACTTTTTTTAAATGTGCCCCTTTACACTACCTCACATGTATTTGTATACTATATTATGCCACTATTGTTAAAGCAATATGTTGATGTTCTTGTTACATTTTATCACCATCATGATTATCATCAAAAGTCAAAAGTTACCAGACCTTAACCTCAAGCTTGTGATAAGTTTTTTCTTTTCTTTATTTCCATGTTTGGTCCCAATTATTTTCCTTTAATTAAATAGGCCTACCTTTTTTTTTAATAAACATGACATAGGTTAATAATGGTTGTTTTGGTTTTTTTAATTTGAAGCTAAATTTAGCTGCAATTATTTTGAGGGAGGAAATAAATAAAACGCTAATTGAGATCAATACCATAAAACAAGTAATTTTTAAAAAAATAAACTTGATACTGTTAATAGCAGCAAATTATTGGCTCACTGCTTCATAACTACAGATAGATCAGGGCGTGATTTTACTTACCAAGTTGATATTATGGAGCAGGGTTTAAAAAATCCACAAATCAATTTCAGATGGTTTAACAACTGTCTATTATTAAAAACTGGTTTTTCTTTGCTTTTCTGTCACTAATTTTATTTTCCCAGTCCAATTAATCTACGAGGTCTTAAGGGTGGCCGCTATACAAAAGCTTTCTGATTGTTTCTGAAGGCCAGTCTGGGCAATATGTGTACAAATTGAGATAATTCATGATTATGTTACAGCATTTTATTAAACAATTAAGAAAATCCCTTTATTGAAAATTGCATGTACCATACAGAACCTCTAAAGACTATATAATAAAAGCCGTTATAAAATTTTATGAATTCGACTTGCTTGTTAAAAAATTGTTTTTCGATTTCTTTTGAAACTGCATAGTATTGTAAATGTCTTTTTTGCTAAGTAAAAAATTATTTACTATTTTAATACTACAAATGAAAATTTATATAATTCAAATGCTGGTTTAAAAAATTAGGTTTGTTATTTGAGGTTGATCTGATAGACTCAGATAAAACCTTTAGTTGGACCAAACTACGATTGGATGCCTTTTGTTGTTGCTCACAAGTGGCCCCTGTGAAAGTTTATATTTGGAATGTTTTTTATTACTTGTGTGACCCTCAGTTGGGCAATGAGCCCTTAGTCTTCTATTAGATAGCTTCAAATACAGGTTTAGTTATTTTTTTCTCTAATGGTTTTTAAAAATCTACTACACACATATACTTCTCTATATTTATATTTGATGTAATCATTATGAAGGTGCGGCAGCTGTTGTGGTTTCAAGAGCCAAAGCGCCTTCTATTATGGTGTAGACTCTAGATGTTTTTTTAAATTCTGTTTTAAGTAGATGTGTGCGACAATGCGCACTATCTAATTTTCATTGTACAAACACTGTCATTCATTGTGAGTAAACTTTTGTTGTAAAAAAAAAAATGTTATTCTTTGATTTGTTTGTTTGACATAATTTTATTATAGAAATCAGAACAGTAAGTAGATTTGGTGTGCCGTGGTTTTCACAAGATATACAGTCTGAAAATTAGATATAGCAATAGATTGAGAGTAAATATTTAATGTTTTACGCAATTTGAATTAAACTGATGGTGTTTTAAATCAGTTTAAAAATGTATTATAAGGGCAAGTACACTTCAATAAAATGAAGTTTTACATCCTTCAGTTCAGAGGAGGAATAAACGATCCAAAAAAACTAATTCTCATAAGTACAAAAAAATGAAAACTTAGCGACTTAAATGGACTGTTTTCCATCTATTATACCTACTATGACTAGTTTAAAAAAAGTACACAAAAATCATGTAGGTAATCTACTTCTAAACATCTAAGTAGTCACATCTATCTATAATAGATTTTTTAAAAATATACAATGTGGTGTGCATATTTGTGGTTACAGTGTAAGCAAAATTGTACAACATGACAAGCCTTTTAAAAGATAAACTATTTACAGGAACAATGGATTACCTGAAGATATAAATAATTAGTACAATGCATATTATTTTCAGTTGAATCAAGATCAAACACTCAGAAAGTTATGTACTTAATATAATATTGAATTTTCTCTAACCTTATTTGATTGATGAGATTAGGCCTCGCTAGCTAATTACACATTAATACATAATAAATGGTTCTTGTTCAGAAAGCAACATCTATCTAAAGTGACTTGATTCAGATAACCATATTTAGATAAACTCAGTAAATGTACGTTCATATAAATTTTAGGTCTAAAACAAACATGATATATGATAAACACAACAGAAAAATGTAGTAAATTATCTCGAAAAACATTGTAAATGACAAAATCAGCAAGAGCTTTTCCTCACGATTCAGATCTCTTAATAAGGTGGTGGTTCATGTGGTTATTGGATCAAATCTCAGTTCACAACTGGTGATGCAAAAAACCTGCTTGGTTTCTTATGCTGCAGAGTTTTAGTAGCATATCTGGGAAAACAATAAGACAATTTTAACAAACTTTACACATGTAGTAACTGAAATAAAGCTTGTGGTTAAATAAAAGGTCAATTTAGAGACTTATGACAAAGAATTTTTTATTACATAAAAACAGATTATGATTTGAACAAAAAGAGTGATAAAAATACGAGTTCAAAGCATTTATTGAGAAGTCAGATTAGAAATCTTACAATGCCCTAGTAGTCACATGGTAGAATTAGACCTGGCATTTTAGATATTTGGAGACTAAATTATAATGGGGAACAGAAAAAAATGTTTCTATATCCTGAAGGAACAAATATAATAGCCATTAAAACAGGCATATGTATTTGCCCTGCTCTCATAATATTTGTCTGAATAATCTCTTCTCAGATAATTACATTTTTACCCTTGACTCTAAGTCATGATTTACTAGCCTTTGTGTATGTCATGAGCGAAATTGCCCCATACACATTTTTATAGAATAAAGACTAAAAAAGTTAAAAATAAGTATTGGTAAGCATTGCTTAATGTGTTTACTATGGTGTAATTAGGGTAGAACACTACCACACGCATACTATTATGCATTAGGATAATTAATTAATGATAAGCAAGTGACGGATGGTGATGCCTTATAAATGTGACAGCATATTTTGTATTTTTTTTTATTATGCAATATATGCACTCTTATGCTCTAGAACTTTATTCTTGAAAAGGTTCTTTATTTTTAAGGCAATCTTTAGTCAAGGGTTAGCCCATCATTGGCCCAGGGAACAAATGGAGAGAAAATGCTTTTCTAGTTTGGTTTTGTACAAAAGCATACCATTAGCTTGTCAAAGATTGTATAGTGACTCCTGAGAACAAAGTGTTAGCTGAGAAAATACCTCATTCTTGGATGAGAAAATATAAGTTCTATTTTGTGATAAGTGAAACAATTTCTTTTTTATATTTCCTTGTCATTGAATTGAGTGATTTAGGACATGAATTTTCCCCCTAAACAGTAAACAAGTTAAAGTTGACAGTTGTGATATTATCACTGTCCTTAAATGAACCAACAAGCTAAGCAACAGTTCCACATATAAATCCACAAACTATCAGAATATTGTCGATTGACTTTGCAGTAATAAGAGGGAAGTTCATGAAACTTTTTATGATTGCTTTTTTCTTCTTTGTCACTAGGTGCTTTATAGACATTAACAAAGAACGACCTCATGAACATTGTAGCATAAGACATATTTACCACCAACCATTGCAAAATTAAAGTGTATTAGAAAAATTGGTTTGTATTTGCGCATTTTTCTGTAATGACAGAGGTATCATTGGCACAACTAGATAAGATGGTATTTGGTGTAGTCATTAAATGTTTCACTTTCTACACATTCTATCTTTCAGTAAAACTTTTAGCATTTTGGCAGTTTACATACAACTAAATAATTTGAAAGTTTTTAATCTGAATTCATTTAAAATTGTTATTAAATAAGTTAAATCAGTTTGTTGTAGATTGGAGCTAATATGAAAAAAAAAAGAATTCTAAAACCCAAGAAAAGATGGAAGCTGCAATCTATCAGTTTATCAAAAAGTTGCTGAAAGGTAAAGAATCATATCAGTAAAATTTTCTGAATTATTTTGTTAAGAAAGTACAAAGAAAGAAACTTCACCATAATGTTGATATTTACTTATTTATGTAAGTCTCAACTTTTATGCCAATCTTTGGGGCATATCTTTTGCAATAGAAATTTAGAAAGTGCTATGTGCTCTTATCTTTAGAAGGAGATAATTTAAGCGCATGATCTAAACCAGGTGAATTCCATCAAAGTTTTAAAGTAAGTAAATGAGACAATAGCTGACATGAGCCAGTACCTGAAGAATATCCTTTAGACTTATATGGCACCATGAAGGTCAGGGTACAGAGGTGGCATCAGTCTGGTTCTATAAACAAGATAAATCATGACCCCTGAGTATTTTAGTTAGTGCTATGGGTCAGTAGAGCAAAAGCTGTTAGCACTAAAATTGCTAGAAATGTTTTTGTCATTCCAAATAGAGTAGAATTCAGTTAGGAAAAAAAAGGTAGAGGATATTTTATAACTGGCAGGTTAAATCAAACTAAACGTAGGAAAACTGTACACCAAGGAACTTGTTTTGTAATTCATGGTATTCTTTGTTGAACTATTATTGAAAATTACAAGAAAGGGGCTTATGAAATGCTCAAGAAAGCTGTTAAAAATAGACATATAATCAAAATGTTTCTATAAATGATCCCATTACTGTGTTTTTTTTAAAAACATAATAGATTATCACAAAACTTTGGAAGAACTGAAAATATATCAAATTAAATGTTGCATTTAATTTAGTTACCAAAATACAAACAACCTATCAATGCCTTAATTTTAGTAATAAATAAATTAAAAATTTTGTATTTTTTAACTGACAATAGAAAACAAGCATTGGTCTACAAGTCATGTTATAATACACAATGGATTAAAGAAATGGAGGAATGTAAATTGTTATTGTAAATAGAAAAAGCCTTGAACAAACTTTACATTAAACTAGGATAAGCATTCTGTTAATTTAAATGAACTTTTAAAAATAGTTTACATGTGATTGTAAGAATACTATTGAGAAATGAGAGTTGCTCTAATTGAAATTAGTATGTATATATCAAAATCCCTTAAGTCAAGCCTTTAAATGACTAAACAAAAGAATACATTACAAAATGTAACATAACATTTTAGTTTAGGTGAAAGAGGATTATATATAAATAAGTGCACAATGCTATTTCATTAAATACACATTCCACAGATTATCATTGATACATCCCAGGATACCATTAATGCCCATAGACACAAGGAATATTAAAAAGAAGTTCATTCTGTGGTTTCATAAACCCAAATACAACACTCTTCATGTGAAAATTCTTAAAACAACCTTTAAAGGTTAAATAGTGGCCCAACTGTAAAAAGTATTTTAATGTTAAATTGTAAATTAATGTACTTAAAAATTAACTGGGAATTTAATTTTTTAAATATCTTTTTTAAATTCAACATGCTGATTGTGCAAGGATGCGAAGCTTGAGTATATAAATAAATACACATGTACACAAATACCCACTTTCCCATTGTTTGCAATTTTTTGTCCCTGAGAAATAAGAAACATTAAATTAAACAATGAGTCAACAGTGGGGTGGGGGTGGTGGAAGAGGAGGAGGAAATCTAAATTGTCATCTTTCTGTGCAAACATTCTAAGTATAAATGATGTTACAGTAGAATTTGTCAGGTTACAGTTTTGCTGCTTTGGCATCTCACTCATTTCTCAAGAAATACTAAAATTGTGCTAAGCATTATTTCAACAAAATGTACAAAAGACATACATATAGAGTCCCTTTGTCCCTTTATTTTCAAGTCAACTATAATCTGATGCTTGGTTACTTTTAATATTATTTTAGTTTGCATATTATTGATTTTTTTAAAAGCAATTCAATTAGGGATAGTGTATGTTAAAAATGTCCATCAAGTCACAGATGTGAAAAGGTTGGGGTAGAAATAGTACAGCATGTATGGTTCACCAGTTAACATCAAGTCACAGATGTGAAATGGTTGAGGTAGAAATGGTACAGCGTGTATAGTACAGCATGTATGGTACAGCGTGTATAGTTCATCAGTTAACATTAAGTCACAGATGTGAAAAGGTTGAGGTAGAAATATTAAAAATTAAACATGAAACAGAACTTAATGATATAATATGTGCAAATGAGTACAATTCAGTACATACTATCATGACAAAATAATTTGAATAAAATGTCAATTGTTTGAAACTTTGGTTTGTTCTAAGTTAAGAAAAGAAGCAAAATTTAATATTAAATATTGCTTCCTGTTACTAACCTGCCTGTTAGATAAGCCTGACAAAAGCCAACTAATGAGATTATCCGTTGGAGGTTGTTTGTATCAAAAGTCTTAATTAAAAAGTTCTTCAAAGCTTGAATGGACAAATTATATTTAGATAGAATTTCAAAGTAAACCTACCTCGGTGTTGTCTGTTTTAAATCATGTCCATAGATGTCTGATCTGTCAGGGGTTGTTATTGGGCCTAACATACTCCGAAGGCCTGTTTAATATAAATATTTGCATAAATGTACACAAATTCCTTCTTTACTTGACAGTTTTAAAATGTGTAAATTTCTATATTCATTGCAAAGGAAGTAATAAGTCAATCCATAGGATATGTTGCCATCAGGTTTTAGACAATTACAAAATAAATATCCAGGATATATATTCTTACATAAGCTTGTACATTATTTCCTTAATATAATGGACAGATCTAGATTAGTACATTATTGAAAAGATCAGGTTAATCAATGAGGTAAAATAAACAGTGATCGCGTCAACATACCATAGTGAACACTGTCTGGTGTGTAAGGTGTTCCTGATGGAAACAAACTGATCTCATCAACATTAAGCAAATCACTCCAAAAGTCAGTGGGAATCTCTAGTAAACGTTCCATGACCTGATATTGTACAAAGTTATATAAATTAATATTCCTAGAATGCATTTGCAAATATATAGTTCAACTGTTAGATAAGTGAAATACAAACAAGAAATACATGTTTATAAAAAAAAAATTTCATCTGAACACTAAACAATTGATTACACTTATAAGGTCCACACAATATACTAAATAGGGTTCAAGATTTTCTCTATGATTGGTCTCCAACATATGTATTACATTTATTTTATCAAAATTAATAACTTGAGGTTTTGGTTTAAGGCAGTAGTATATATTGTGACCTACTTAGGTCGAGTCATTTTTATTTTGACATTGTATAATTCCTTATATGGAATGATGGTGTAACACCTGGGGTTTTTCCATTGACTATTAAGGTGTTTGAGACATAGAAAATTTCCATTAAAATCTGATTGAATGATTCTGATCAGATGATTATCCCAACCAATGGCGACATGAGTTGAGGATAACCTCCCCTGTCACAGAAGTCTTTAATTGCCCCGCACACTCGCAACACGAGGCAGTTTATCTTGACCTGGCAGTCTACGAGGCAGTTTTACCTTAGTCAGGCAGCCGTCCATATTGTCCGGCTATAGACTCTGACCATTTGAACGTGAGAGTACTTAAGACCTGTGTGTGCCTTGCTTTCTTAAGTTGATTTAGTCTTCTAGTTTAATATTACTTGTCGCTAAGTAATTCTAGAAACTACAGCAGTGTTGTGTGGCCTGTAGCTGTTCTTTAGACAGTGTAGAAATCTGTGATAGTGTTTTTTCCTACATTGTGTAAGTTGGGTTTTTGATATTTTATACATTAAATATTTTATCTAGTTCATCTTCGTGTTCTGCCTCAACTGAGTTCGCTGATTAAAAGGTCGTATGTAGATTGGATGAGTGGTAATTACAATAGTATCACTAGCTCCCCTAGACATTGATTCGAGCCCTAGTGTGTCGTTGTGTTAAGTGTTCATCCACTTAGGCCGTAAGGCATTTGCATATGACCCCGAAAAAAGAATCCGGGGACGTTCTCCTTCTATTTGGCTGATAGATAGGTTAACGTAACAAAGTGGGAGCTCGCCGAGATTTAATCTGTCGTTCCAGTTGTTGGTTATATCAGTTGAATACTAAGGTTAGTTGGATTTAGTTGTTTTTATATCCAGTAGCGCAGTGTCCTTACAACGCGCGCAAGCATAGAGTTATCTAGGTCAATAGCCAGACGTGTTGTCCTAGATTGAAGAGGTCAAGTACACGGCCCAACGCTGTGTGTTAAGTTAGTGAACCTAGGCTTGTTGTGATTTGAAAGTTAGTGTTATGGAGTCTTTTTTGGCTAATCCTACTTTTGAAGGTGTAGAAAAGTTGAGTAGAAAAGTGTTGATTAGTCTTGTTAAGGAATTGAAATTGGATTATTCTGTTACGCAGAAGTCAGAAGTGTTGAGAGATAAAATTGTTGTTCATTTCATTAATGAAGGGGTATTTGATGAAAGTTTGTTGGCTGGTGTATTACTTCGTGAGGAGAAAGTTGCTTTAGAGAAGGCATTAAAAGAACAGGAGTTAGAGGTTAAAATTGCTTTAGATAGGAGGAGGTTGGAATCAGAATTTGGTCAAGTTAGTGATGTCACTTCTCTGGTAGATCCAAAAAAGTTGTCGGTAGGGCAAGTGATTGCCAAATTTGGGAAATTAGTTCCTAAATTTGATGAAACAGATTTGGTCGTTTTCTTTAACTCATTTGAGAGTTTAGCGAAGACATGTGAATGGCCCGAAACTTCCATTACTGCTTTATTGAGTTCGGTCCTTACTGGGAAAGCTGCAAAAACATACCAGGCACTCTCTCACGACGTTCAAAATAACTATAGTTTGGTCAAAACTGCCATTTTAAAGGCCTACGCACTGACGCCCGAGGCCTATCGGACAAAATTCCGAACACTCCGTAAGTTACCCACACAATCATATGTGGAATTTCTCTTTGAAAAGGAGAAAATATTCTCAAGGTGGCTACACTCTGAGGAAGTTTCTGAGTTTGAGAAACTCAGGTCACTTATCCTAAGGGAAGAATTCCTATCGTCCCTGCCTGAAGAGATACGACTACACATACTGGATAACAAGATAACTGACATCCAGAAGGCTGCTGAGTCGGCTGACACATATATGTTGGTGCATAAGAAACCACCAGTGTCAGGAAACCGCCTCAACCCCGTGCTTCCCCTTTTTGGCAGCAATCATCCTGTTGGCCAACATTTGAAGACATTACAGTCCAGAGAGAACCCAAGATCAACTCTCAATCATCGAGCAGTGTGCCAGTTCTGCAAAAGGCCTGGTCACCATGTCAAGGACTGTTACAAACGTCGTCAAAATAACAGAGAGGTGGTGCGTTCTTCTGCGCACTATGCTCTATCCCCTCAAGCAGCCAGTTCAACTATGAACTCTAGAATTCTAAAGGACTCTAACCCTAAGTGTCCGCAAGAAGGTAGTCAAGTCTCCACACATTATGTGCAGTCACATTTTGACTGTTCTCGCCACCATCCAGTTTCTTCCGAGTCTACCGATCTCGAGGGATCGAGAAAAGTTGACTTTTCATCGTTTATTGCCGAAGCCATCATTAGCAAACCAGGTGATCCGTTGTCTCAGCGGAATATCACCGTCCTAAGAGACACAGGAGCGTCACAATCACTCCTTTTGAAAAGTTCAATGGACATTACACCTGAGACGAACACCGGAAGGATTTCCATTATCCAGGGAGTGGGGACAAAATCTACTGTCGTCCCTCTACACAAGTTTGCCCTGAAACATCATCTCGTCGAAGGTGAGGTCATTTTAGGTGTGATAGATAGTATTCCAGTCCCAGGAGTACACCTACTTCTAGGGAATGACCTTGCGGGAAGCAAAGTATACCCCTGTACGGTTTCAGACCCTTTGTCAACAGTTCCAGATAATGATAATGAACTGTATCCTGCATGTGCGGTGACAAGAAGCCAGACCAAACAATTGGCTGACACCACGTCTGAACCACACCCGCCGTCATCGTCAAGAAATTCGACTCCCAAACTGGAGTCTATGCTTCCAGAAAACACAAGCTTGGGCTTACCCCTGAGAATATCTCAAGAAGACAACATGGGAATTGACCATCCCATTGCCTTTTTTTCCAGGAAGTTAAATGAAAACCAAAAGAATTATTCTACTATTGAAAAAGAAGCTTTAGCTTTGGTTTTATCATTACAACATTTTGAAGTCTATGTCTCTTCTTCAACCAATCCAGTCAGAGTGTTTTCTGACCATGATCCCCTGAAATTTACCTCTAAGTTAGGACAGACAAATCAAAGAATATTGAGATGGTGCTTATATTTCCAAAATTTTAATCTGGAAATTTCACACATTAAGGGTAGTGATAATGTTGTGGCTGATTGTTTGTCAAGGATGTAAAATCTTGTTACACACATTGATCATGTGACATGCTTTGTGGTTCATTAGGACCATAAGCAGGTTTTGTTTGAGTGTCACTCATATGAAAATGAGTGGTGTGAGTTTTGAATTTTTTTCAAAATTCCAATCCTGTTGAATATTTTGTTTATTTTCAGGTGAACCTTAATTAAAGGTAGTTTTTGATTATATGTAATCTGTTATAATAATATGTCTCATATGACTCAATTGATATTGTAGCTAGTCATTGAAATAAAGGTCTTACCCTGGCGGGTTTACCACTTTTAATATTCTCATGGAAAAATTGTAATACCCTTTTTTGAGGGATTTTGATGTATAATTACTTTTTGAAGGGCTACTCCCCTTTCACCAATTGTAAAAGTTGGAGTTACTTCCCTTTTATGTTCAGGGATATTTTCATCTGGTGTTATGATTTTGATTGCCTACATTTGTAAAACATTTTTGTTATTTCATTGCCAGATTGGTTCCTTATGTATGTTTTTGTGGAACCTATCTGTCACTTCCAAAAAGGGAGGGGATGTGACCTACTTAGGTCGAGTCATTTTTATTTTGACATTGTATAATTCCTTATATGGAATGATGGTGTAACACCTGGGGTTTTTCCATTGACTATTAAGGTGTTTGAGACATAGAAAATTTCCATTAAAATCTGATTGAATGATTCTGATCAGATGATTATCCCAACCAATGGCGACATGAGTTGAGGATAACCTCCCCTGTCACAGAAGTCTTTAATTGCCCCGCACACTCGCAACACGAGGCAGTTTATCTTGACCTGGCAGTCTACGAGGCAGTTTTACCTTAGTCAGGCAGCCGTCCATATTGTCCGGCTATAGACTCTGACCATTTGAACGTGAGAGTACTTAAGACCTGTGTGTGCCTTGCTTTCTTAAGTTGATTTAGTCTTCTAGTTTAATATTACTTGTCGCTAAGTAATTCTAGAAACTACAGCAGTGTTGTGTGGCCTGTAGCTGTTCTTTAGACAGTGTAGAAATCTGTGATAGTGTTTTTTCCTACATTGTGTAAGTTGGGTTTTTGATATTTTATACATTAAATATTTTATCTAGTTCATCTTCGTGTTCTGCCTCAACTGAGTTCGCTGATTAAAAGGTCGTATGTAGATTGGATGAGTGGTAATTACAATAGTATCACTAGCTCCCCTAGACATTGATTCGAGCCCTAGTGTGTCGTTGTGTTAAGTGTTCATCCACTTAGGCCGTAAGGCATTTGCATATGACCCCGAAAAAAGAATCCGGGGACGTTCTCCTTCTATTTGGCTGATAGATAGGTTAACGTAACAATATTAAATCCTTGCAAAAGCATATTTATGAGTTTGTTTACTCAAAAATGTGAATGTACTTTTTCCCCTCTAATAAATATGGATTAAAAAAAAGAGGTGAACAATTAAAACATTCATTGAAAAGTATTAACATTTAATAAGCAAAATGAAACAAAAGGATGTTAGTATTACCTGGTTCTGTTTCCTAGTTTCCGACATTATTTGCATGGGCTCTGGTTCTGGACAAGAATAACCAACAACAGTTGGTCCAAATACTTTAGCAAGGTTTGATGCTGGCATTTTACAAGACTTTGCTGAGGCCACTCTGTAACAAAAATCCCACATTAATTAACTTTCTCATGTCACTTGCTCTAGTATCTAAATAGTGATTCTCAAGTTTAAATACTGAAAGAAAAACATTGAAAGAAAAAGATTTACGTTTGGAGATGCTGAACAAGAAAAGCTAATGTATCTTTGTTGGCCTGAGGTAAGTTATTGATAAGGTGACATAACTCCTCCCTGCACTTGTCATTTGATTTCATTTCTGAAATGAGCAAATAAATTAAATTATTAGCACAGAAAATACCATGTTTTAACAAAAAAATTGTATAAAAGTATAGGTATATAATTTTGTCAACACTGAAAATGCTACAAGTAATTATGTTATAATGTCACAGGTAGGGACTAAATCTTACCTGCGGCCTCAACAAACTTTGACCACAATCCAAAAGTAACAAGAGGTTCTTTAAGGCCACGCAAAAAATCTTTTAAGCACCCACACACTACATGAATATCATGGATTTGACCCTGTAAAAATGTATGGAAAAGGAAAAGAAATAAATAAATAAAATGAAAATGTTTGCATGCACCATATGAAGCTATTGGAGCAACAACTTACAAGGTTAGGATATCTTCCCTTCAAAAACTTTTCTTTCAGTTCTTTTTGATCTTTATCTGATCTGAATAAAAACTTTAATTAGTAAACTTTTATTAAAATGTCATTACATTAAATTAACCTAAAACAGATTTATAGCAAACTAGCAGATTCAGAGAAGAAAATTGTGTAATATATTGTTTTAATTAATGATTTCAATGAAACTTTAGGTATCAGTGCAATTCATATATTTTAAGTGTTAGAAATAAACTCTAGACAATCCCTGAATAATTGTTGGATAAATGTTTTACCCAGGAACTCTGTATATTCCCACTTCATCCAAACCTCTGCTTTCTATTTCATGAGCACAGTTAACCTATCAAAATTAAGAGGAGATATTGTAGGATTACTCAATGTTATTTCAAGGATCTAGAAAGTAATTTTAAAAAAGAAAGAGCTAAAGCTTACAATTAGCCTTGGAATCATGGGTCTTTCTGCTGGTGCAAAATCAGCAATTAAGCCCTGTTGAAGGATATAGATAACTTGTTATTGTATCTAATATAATTGGCACAGAGAATGAAACTTGAGTATATTAATCTTTCTTAAAAGGAAATAATTTTTTTTTTAAGTAGTAAGAAAACTGGTTATTTAGTAATGACCCAAAAAAATAAGAGTATGGATGTTAAACTTAAAACAAATGCTAGATTATTCACTACAATTTGGTGGAACAGTAACATTTTTAAAAATTACATAAATATATTAATTTGTATTTCCTTAAAACTAGCATGGATTGAAGGTGTTTGTACAGCAATAATAGCCATTTAGTTTAGCAAGTGGTGATATACCTCAGACAACTTAAAACCACCGGGAGTGCTGGGGCAGGATGGGATACATGGCAAAGGGAGTTTGTCTTTACATTCTGGGTGACACACTGCTCTACAGTCTAAGAGAGAAGAATTTAAAAAACATGGAATATTAAAAAAACAAAACACAGAGAAGCAAAACTACAAGGGCTTCACAAGTTCGTACAAGCTATTTAAGTTATCAAACAATATATAGGTAAAAATAATATTGATAATAGTGTTGAAACTTTCACATACCTTTACATTTCATTGCCAATTTGCTAAATCGTATTCTTTTGCCACACTAAAATATTAAAATACAGTATGCCATTAGTATTTAATGGTTAATATTCATTTAGTAATATGCATAGAAACCTCTGTGTAATTGAAGTAAGCTGAATACTTACAGGAACACAGGTTTCTGGTTTAATGACAGTTTTAGAGATGAAAATGTGAACTCTGTTTAACCCTCTGCCAGCTGAATTTGCTTTTCTTAATGTTGGAGTTCTAATAATAAAAATATATTTACAAAATTTAACACTATTCTTTTTACTGAGTAAAGCAAAATTGTAAATTATTAGTTGGTCATTCAATTAAATTATGTTTAAGCAAATATAAATGTTATAAATTGTGATTCTAGCATGAACAAGCATTTTAAAGGGTACTGTATCTATTGACAGTATACAATTTAATTATCTACAGATACATATATACACAGGACATATGTTAAATTGAGATTCAAAAATTGAAAGCTACAGGACACTCAAACTAAATTTTTCTTTTGTAACTTACTCAGGGGTATTTTTTAAGATACTCTTTCTTGGCTGAGCATTATAATTTCTGTTTGCATTGTTATTTCTAGGAAAACCATACACTTCATCATCACTCTCTGGCCCGCTATCTGAAATCATATACATACACATGCAAAACAAATATGAAAGAATAAGAAATACACATGATTGACATAAAGATGAACCAAGTTGAAACAATACTGACTCAAGCATCAGAGAACCAAAGTAAACTTGACATACCTGCACCATTTCCACGCTTGTCCAGGTTAGGTTCACTAAAACTCTTGTTAAGTTTTGGGACAATATTTGTTTCCACAGTGGCACTTGGTTTCCCAGCAGCATCTATTGTAATGACAGCTGTCACTATTGAGTTGTTGTGATCCTGAGGAGCAGCATCAGGTTCAGCCTTATTTTTACAACTAGATTATAACACCTACATTCACGATGAAGTTAAAAAAAATGCAACTTGATCATAAATTTTTTTTTTTTTAATTAATCAAGTTGCACTTTATTAGTTAAAGATTTTGTATTCTAAGGAATATTTTTTTGCAATACAGCAGTATTTTTAACACTGAGGAAACCCATTCAGCAGCAGCATTGTAACAGTTACGTCTGTGTGTTAAAAATTAACCAAAATCAAAAGTATTTATTTCAATACTAATCTTATCTATGATTTTAGTAGAAAAATTGACACACTTTCATTTTCGAATAAGTAGCCCTACTCATGAAAAATAAAAAAATTTTATTGACTTTGCCCACAGAAGCATATTTTTTAAAAAGAAAAAGCTTTTTTTCTTTTCTTTTCAACAAGTCATTTCCTTTCTTCAATAAATAAATAATTGATAAATTTAATATTATGATTAATCAATATCAGTAATGTGTGGGTTTTAAATAAACAGGTAAAAAATAGTCGTTTTGCTGCACAGGTGCTGAAAAAATTTAAAGGGAGAAGAATTCCGGTGAAACATGAAAATAAATCCGATCTTAAATAGTTAATACTAAAATGACAACCACAAGAAAGCCTCACATGTTCGTCACGATGACGTTTTGGTGGTGTGTTTTCCAATTCATCAGCAGGAGGTGCTGTTGGCCGCTTAAACTTTTTCCCATTTCGAAGACGGGAATCACTTAAGGGGTCTTCTTCTGTCTTATCATAACTTACATCAGACAGGAAAGAAGCAGAATGTTCCATTATGGTGTTCAGTCTGAAATAGAAATTACTGCAATTAACCTCAATAAAGCCGGTTTGCTGTATGAAGAATCAAAGATAAATAAAAACAGCAGAACCTACATATACTATGTTTCATGAGCTGTTATTTTAAAGTTTATAAAGGAATAAATAATGTTTACCTAGAATTGCTACCATCTAGGTGTACACTTTGTCTGTGGCTATTAGCAATAGCTGCTAATCTATCTCTGTCGTTCTCGTGAAGGATGCTCTTGCTATTCTTATCATTTAGTAATTCTCTTATGACACCAATTTGACGATCCTAGAAAGAAACAAAAACATATTATGCATTTATTATTACACTGAGTAAATACTAAAGTAGGAAATAAAATAGCAATTACAATGTCTTTACCATATCAGCCTTTTCATTTTCAGCAGCTTTTCTCCTCTGTAATTCATACTCGGCTTGCATTCTAGTGGAATAAAAGTTAAAAAAGAAAAAAATTCATTGACTGAAAGTACTTTATAAATATAATCTGTTCAATATTTCAAGATGGTTATCATACCTTGCATGTTTTAACTGTGTGTCCAGTGACGCTGCTTGTGATTCAGCTCTTTTAATCCTGTCTTCCAGGCTTTCATTTTTTTGTTCTGCTACAAGCCATTTTTTTCTTATTTCTTCTTGATTCATTGCAAAGGCAGCAAATTCTAAAATCAAAAACAAAATAAAAAACAAAAATTCAAAAAAAAATATTTTTTTAAAATCACATGAATTTATAGTCCCAAATAGTTGGGTTTGATAGGTTTGAAAAGATGATGGCTCCTTTGGGAAAGGTGGGAACAAAGTAAAAAAATATTTTCAATATTAAAAAAAAAATCATACCTGCTTCACATCCAGATTGGAGTATTTTTGATTTTCTCATTAGGTCATCAAATTGTGAAACTAATGAGAGATTCACTTCCATCTGAAAAATATATTTATTTGTTTAGACATATAGTATTGTTTAAACGGACATTTTTGATGACAGAACAATTAATTTGAATACTTTATTTGATTCAGGAAATTAAACAATTTAGAATCTTTTTTAGAATTTCTAAGAGTTGTATAGAGAAAGTATTGCAATCGTGCAAAAATTGAAAATCAACTTGAGTAACGTTACAGCTAGGTCGATGAAATTTCATATATATAAGTTTTATATCTAATTTGTAGTTCTGTATCAACTTTTCAGTGATTATTCTACTTTTGGTTTTTCAAAAGCCTATAACTTGAGTACTGTTTCAGATATATGGATGAAATTTCACATAATTGAATTTAAAAAGATCAAATTCTCTGCATCCTTTCTAATTTTGATGAGTAATTTTTATGTACCGGAAATAGTACTTTACACTATTTCTGATTTCTCAAAAAAAAGCATTTGAATTTATAGAGTACTTATATTCTGCACTATAATACACACATTGTTTGCTTTTCACTTGATGAACAATTCTTTTTCTACCTTATTCTTTTCTATTTTGTAAAACTTTACGTAATTAAAAATCATGTCTATATCCCGAGTAGTGTTATATAAGTATATTCGACAAAGTTTAGGAGAGATCACTCCGGCTTTATTTCAATATATTATCATTGATTACTGAAGATACCACGTTGGTGGTACATTAATTTAGTACTCGTCCAAATAATCAAAATAGTTCAAATAATCTTGTAAACTGGAGTAATATTCAGTTAATGTAAGGCCAATATCTTCTAATCTTTAACACTTTGTATTGTTCTACTCGTGTAGAGAGTAGAAATAAGAATAAACAATTTAAAAAGTGTGAGCAGTTTTTATTAAGCTTGATCATTAGCATTTTTAAAAATCAACAAAATTGACATTTAGGTCTATACGCTGAAAAAAATCGATTGTAAGCGGTGGTAATACAAAATTTCCAAGCAACAATTAAAAATGTTTGAGGTTGCAGCGACATCGAGCTTAAGTTTAAGTAACATATCAGGAGGCTCCGGTGTTCCACACGAAAGAATGAAGTTGATAGATTGATAGCATATCTAACGACGGAAAAAAACAGTTATAATAATACATACAACTGAAGCAACTTTAAAGTCTGCAACAAAATTCATTGTAAATGATTGGTTGTGGTACAATTTTTGCAGACATCTTCGCAATTTACCCCCACCCAGCGTAAGTATCGGGTGGGGTAAGATGCAAGAGTAAAAAGTTATACAACAGGCAGTTTTTATACCATTTCTTGCAATTTACCACCTTGAGCCCTTGCCATGTATGTTATGCTTCAAATTACCAACACCCACTTATCTAATTAATTCACTCTAGACTTGGATGTACTTTCTAAATCTATTGATCTAGATCTAGATTCTAGAAAAAAATTTTTTATCTAGACATTCACTTTATTATTTATTTCAGTTTAGCTCTCTACCACAAACTTTCAAGAAAATTGCAAATTGAGTGATAGCGAAATACTATACGACAGAAATAGATCTAGATTAGATCTACAACAATGCTACGAATGTTTGAAAGCATTGTACGTAATGCACAAGATCACAAGTAGAATATCTGCTCTAGACCTAGATCAACTACTGACTAGTCTAGATATTTATTATTTAGATCTAGAATCTAGAGGATCTAGATGTCTAGATCAGGATTCCAGCTACTAGTCTAGAACAGGGGTAGGCAACCTGTGGTTCGTAAAGCCGCATGCGACTCTTTTGATGTCAAACCATCTGGCAGATAAGGCTTGATCCCTTCCTACACTAAAAATTAAGAACGAAGAAGAAGACATAGAAAAAATAATTCCGCACCAAGTGGACGCCAAACCTAATGTGTAGGCCTATAGGCCTAATAGTGAGGAATATTATTAGTAGGCCTACTTGATAAAATATAAATTCACATATGTTTTTTTGAGAAATCGGAAATAGCGTAAATTACTACTTCCATTCAACGGAAATTACTCAAAATTTGAAAGAAGGCAGAGTGAAATTTCATTTAGGGCCTATCTATCTGAAATAGTACTCAAGTTATAGTCTAGATCTAGTAGGCCTATAGGCTTTTGAAAAATTTAAAGTAGAAAAAGTTCCACTTTTCCGGTTATCGGAAAACACTAAAAAGTTGATAAAGATTTACCCCAAATTTGATTTTTTTAAAATTTAGATCTATATATTATTTATGAAATTTCATCAACCTAGAATCTAGCTGGTACTCAAGTTATAACTCAAGTTATCATGTTTACAGACACACACACAGACCAGACACTGGGACAAGATTGCAAACTTGAAACTAATCTGTTTTTCTGACCCAGGGAGGTCAAGATTTGCAAAAATCTTTTTGTTTTGCACGATTACAATACTATACGTCACTATACGAGAAAGTAAAAATGTTAGATCTAGATATCTAGATCTAGAGGCTTTCACTGAAATTTTGTAAATTGTAACTTTTGGCTCTTCTGTCCCAAACAAAAGGTTTCCGACCCTTGGTCTAGAATCTCTAGATTAGATCCCAAGAAATCGTCACATGCATCACA